TTAAAATTGCTGAAATTGATGGATAGCCAGATTCTTTAGTTCATGATGTTTATGCTCTTTTCCTTTTCTCTTTCTAGATTTTTCCATTTATTCTAAAATAGTTTCTTTGCTTTTATTATCATGTGATGTGATCACGTGGATGGATTCCATTGTATCATGCAAAGAAACATCATAAAGAAAAATTAAATAATGTAATTTGGAAAGTAAATCCTGTTTAAACTTTTGTATTGGGTTTTTACTTTGCTTAAAACTTTTGTCACTTTTAATCTGTATACAGATGGTTATCCTAATATAGGAATTAATTAATCTACTTTGCGTGTTACTGCAGTTGCTGAAAAGCAAAATCGACCTTTCTCTAATCTGCAGTAACTTATTTGTTAAGATTGAAGAATTAAGAAGTGTTTAATCACTTAATGTGTAGTAGTCTGTATTTAAGTATAGTATTATTGTGGATTATTCGCCTATTCGGTATGCATGTTGCTAGCATGTTGTACTATTATTTCTTTTAAGTTAAAGAAGCAATCTCAGGATTAATATTCTCTATTTGTGTGATTTTTTACAACCGTATGAGTTATGGCGAATGTTCTAAACTTCTAGGTGTAACCTCTGTTTAGCTCTACAATTCGGATTTTTGATGAAAATGAAGTTATGTTGGTTGATTAGGTTGTCCGCTTCATCTCAACCGGATTTGTGTAACCTTTGTTTATCAGGATCATGTGTTACAGTGTTAGTAGGGTAGAACTTATAATCTCAACAGCTAGCAATTTTTTTACCCCCGGCACTTGAAATAGAATAGAGCCCATGCTACCATATTGTTCTCCCGTTGACAGACAAGGCGGTGCCTTATCCTTAGTTCGGAATAACAAAATTTAAATTTAAATTTATTTGCTATATCCCTTGTTTAGCCAATTTTAGTAACTAGCATAACTCCATCATCCGTAAGATCTTATGCTAGTAACTTTTTAGTAGCATGTTTTAACCGATGCAGTCCAATAAACGATTGTTTTGTAAAAAATGTGTCTATAACCTGTGCGTTTGATGTGTCAGTGATTTCTAGTCAACTTGATGGTTGTACATATATGTGTTAACAGCCTATTGATTACAGTTTTTGAATTTATTTCTTCTTAGGAACAAGATCAGCATTGTCGCAGCAGGTGCATTAGATCCAATAATCAGCTTCCTCCAATCACCAAACACACGTCTTCAAGAACATGCTACTGCTGCCTTGCTAACGCTTTCTGCATCTTCAGTAAACAAGCCAACCATTACTGCTTCTGGTGCAATCCCTCTTTTGGTAGATGTTCTAGAAATCGGCACCCCACAAGCTAAGGTTGATGCTGTCATGGCTCTTTATAACCTCTCTACTCACTCAAACAACATTACCCTTATCCTTGAGACAGACCCCATACCTCTCATTGTTGACTTGCTCAAAACTTGCAAGAAATCCTCAAAAACGGCTGAAAAATGCACGGCCCTATTAGAATCTCTTGTAAACTTTGATGAGGGTAGGAATACTTTAGTGTCTGAAGAAGGAGGTGTGCTTGCAGTGGTGGAGGTCCTCGAAAGTGGATCTCTCCAGAGTAAGGAGCATGCTGTTGGGGCACTCCTAAAAATGTGTGAGACAGATCGATGCAAGTACCGGGACCCAATCTTAAGAGAAGGGGTTATACCTGGGTTACTTGAACTTACTGTTCAAGGGACTCCCAAGTCACAAAACAAAGCTCAGTTGTTGCTGAGACTGCTTAGAGACTCTCCTTACCCAAGATCAGATTTCCAACCTGATACTTTGGAGAACATTGTTTGCAACATCATCTCGCAAATGGATGGTGAGGAACAGTCGGGAAAGGCAAAGAAGATGCTCACTGATATGGTGCAAGTTAGCATGGAGCAAAGCTTGAGACACTTGCAGCAAAGGGCTCTGGTATGCACCCCTTCTGATCTGTCTATTGCCAGTTGCGCCTCTCAAGTTTCTTCCAAGTAATCAATCATATGATAAACTAATTATAGCCTCTCTTTTTTTTTTCTTCTTCAATTCGGGACATGCTTTTTCCCATATGCTTTTCTTGGTAAGCTTTGTGAAATATGATAATTAGGCCAAATGAGAAAGTTTGTGATACTACTGTGCTGCATACAATGGAAAATGCCAGTCCAGGCCATAGTCTTTGGTATCGAGTGACTGGTTGATATGGTGGGGAGAAAAAAAAAAAAAAAAAAAACCCTTCTTTTTCTCAAGTAGTTTATTGTTCTGTAAAGGAAACTGTTAAATGAAACATGTAATGTTTATTCTGAAATCAAAATCTTTCATATGCCTTTCTTACAATCTCCCATTTTTTAGTGCTGATATTTGTGAATGTTGACATCCTGGGCTCCTAAACAGAACTCTAAATGACAGTTACATGGTAGCCGCAGTTTCAAGGCTACTCTCACCTACGGATGTGGTTTACGCAGTCAATATGTTATTACCTTCTGGTACCACAGATGACGGGGTAGTTCCAGATCACGTAATTATTGCTGCATTACTCCGTATTATAACTTCATAAAACCCCGATATAGAGATATGAACTTGCTGGATTTGCATTGCTGATGATGTGAGGTTATAGATTAGATTTGAAATTAAGAAATCCTTGTATATTGTCGGCAATGAAAGATCTTGTATTTGATGCACATTTTTTGGAGGAATATGCAAAACCCCACCCAAGAGAAAAGAGGTAGCATAAATTTGACTAACATCATACATCATACTTTATACTTAATAGCTTATTTTCTATTATTGTCCATTCTTTTTCTCTTCAATTATTTTTGTCCTCTTACAAATTGTGCGTTTTTCTTTATTAAATTGGGGAACTTGGCTGTTGTCTTGGGTCATTACATTACATATATAGAAGTATCATTTTCCAAGAAAGATTAGTGGTTGCTCTAACCATGTCAATTCATGTTGCTTTTCCGTAAAAAGAAAGTGAAAATAGTACTCACTTTTGTGCTTTGTTTGATTGCTCCCCCACAATGTTATGATTCTTGTATAATATAATAGTTTTCTAAAGAAAGGTGCATTTAAATGTCCCGTTAATTGGTAAATGACATGCAAAGATATAACGAGTGTTTTAGTGTGTGTCACGCATGTGCCGATGTAGATATGCACACATAGTATTATGAACTAAACTGAACTGAACTTATTAGAGCTGAAATGAATTGTTTATGATAAAAGAAAATTAGGAATGAAACTGAATTGAATTGAAATTAAGCTGAAAAGAACTGACCCTAAACATATGTATGCTCACGCGCTTAGCAACTCAAGTGAATAACATACCTAAAGGAAGAAACTATATATTTCAGGGTGTTGGTTAGACACTATACCGTCCTAATTTGGATTAATGGGAGGGACCATGTTGAGTTGTTGATACTAAACAAGACCAAATAAATGAAGTGATAAGTAATAAGATCTCCCAAACTTCATGGATGTCTTGTTTCAAGTAGAGGAAGGTGTTAGCATGTTGTTGTATGGACCACCATGGTATTATCCCTCTCTAGTTCATAAGCGGCATTTTGTCTTCTAAATTGATGATTGACAAAAGGACTAACTCAACTACTCAACAGACAATATCCGTAGACCGTAGCACACTGCATACTTACACGGTTGTTTTTGCTGCATTTTTTTTATGGATTTGTTCAAAATATGAATCAGCCTGATTTGAAAGACAGTACTCCATAATAATCTGTAGATTTTATAACTTTATAAGCCCAATCATTATGGGCCTACGGCTGATCACGTACCAACAAAGTGGCAATTTATTAACTTACAATTGTAATATGTAGTATTTTTTTTTGGAAAAAGCTATCCAATGTCTTGAAGGGATTAGATAAGATAACTAAAGTAGAGCTTTCCTCAAAAAAAATAAAAAATAATTAAAGTAGAGATATTAAATTAAAATGAACATTAATTGCACCGATTGATGCGTGATTTTGAAATGCATTTCTAAATTAATACTCCATAGTTTATACCACTTATTTTATTGCTTATCTAACACCTCGAAAATGTTCATTAGCAAGATCTACTTTTTTTTATTTGAAGTTTCTTAAATTTTATTTCAAGTTTCTTAAATTTTGACAAGATAAGTTTAGAAAACTCTAGTTTTGAATTTTGATAATGGTTAACCAGTACAAATAATACATAGTAAAACCTAATAAATTCAATTAAAAATTCAAATAACTAAGTTAAATTTAAGTAAAAATTGTGAATAAGGGCATGTTCATATTTACTTATTTTCAGTTCAGTTCAGTTCAGTTCAGTTCTATTCAGCTCTTAATTTCCCTCTCTCATAAAATATTCATTTTAGCTTAGTTCAGTTCAGCTCAGTTCCAATCAATTCAGTTTAGTTCAGCTCCAATCAGTTCAGTTCAGCTCAGTTCAATAAATATGAACATGCCCTAAATACTTGAACTTATTTGGTTAGGTGACTTAGGTCGAATGAATTTTTTTTTTTTTTGAAGAAACCTCCCAACAGAGGACTTATTTTCTATATCTTTCAAAGCATAAGAAATAACATCAGTTGGTAAATTATCCACCCACAACCTTTGCCCCAAATCCCATGGCTGGAAATGAGCCAAATAATGAGCAACCCGATTACCACTACGTTTAACAAAAGACCATACGACAGACTCAAAATAAGCACACATAACTAAAATATCATCAATAATTAATTGAAAGGAGCTACGTCCTCCATCAGCTAGGTCGAATGAATTTTAATTATATATCACTTTTTTATTCCGTCATTGTAGATACATTCTAGGATTATTTTAACAAAGTAATAAATAAAAGGTAAAAAGGTTTGACACTTCTCAATCCCTCATGCAGTTGGAAATTAAAAGAAAAAAAACGGTAATTAAATTAAATTAATGGGTAGGATTAGATTACATAATTAAACCAATTTGGATAAAGGCCGTTAATATGTATCCGAATAATCTGGTAGTTATGGGAAATTTAGAAGAAGTAATTACTTTACTCCCTACTCGTACGGTAAAAACTTTCTCTTAAACAAACAATGACTAGGATTAATCTTCTCAAATCTAATTTTTCCCTTTCTTTTTGAAAATTATCTACCTTACTCTATTATCCGATTTGTTTCCATTTCTTCCCCTTACTTAGTGATTTCATTAAAAAGGAAATAACAATTTCTTGGTATAAAAAGGAGATACTTCATCTCATATTATCATTCATCCCTATATTTTATACTAGTAATTAATATTTTGATCTTCCCTTAAAAAATAAAATTTTGATTTCACAAAAAAAATAATGTCGTCTAAGACAAATGAAATTGTTGAAGAAGGCAATAGAAATCCCTCTAATAAGTTTCGTTATTTTTGTTCATCTCCATACGTGGTTTGTCTCGCGCAAAAGGTTAGTCAATTAATTATCATATTTGCATAGTAATGTTTGTTGGTGTTACACTCAGTTCACCTTTTAGACTAATCCGAATTCAAGGATCACTTTTGGGTGGTTAGTTTTCAAGTCCCCTCCCAATTGTTGTTGCGAGGGATCGAATACATGTCCGCCCTACCAAGTGTAGTCCCAATCACCACTATACCAACATCCAATTGGTATATTTGCATAGTAATTTGACATTAATCAATAGGTTATAGGTTTATAAGTCCCTATTGATTGAAATAGATTAGAAGATCATTGACGAATCAATATGTCTTATAACTAACTGTGTTGCGAGTCTGGTATACAACAGATGTATTGTTAAATTAATATTTGATTAACTTAGAACATGCTTTATTTTTCTCTGTTGGGCTGGTTTTGGCTATTACAGATGATGGCTGAAGCAATTGGTACATACTTTGTAATATTTGCGGGTTGTGGCGCTGTGGTGGTGAACAATTTGTACGATGACAAAGTCACATTTCCTGGAATATGTGTGACATGGGGTCTCATTGTTATGGTTATGGTTTACTCTGTTGGTCATATTTCGGGTGCCCACTTTAACCCTGCGGTTACTCTTACTTTTGCCATTTGTCGCCTCTTCCCTTATAAGGAGGTTAGCATCTAACTTCATCCACCCAATTTTTTCTTTTTAAGTTGACATTATATTCAACTTAAAACTACGAGATCAATAACATGTCTAGATAACGTGACAACCTTTTATAATTAGTGATTCGGAGGGGTAGGAACATTGTGGAGTAATGTGGTGTTCACTTTCATATTTGGCTTCGTTATATCATGAGGGCCTTGATTAATGTTTGTTGTAGGTACCGCTTTACATAATTGCACAAATTTTGGGTTCAATGTTGGCTAGTGGTACATTATGCGTCCTATTCGATGTTACACCAAATGCGTACTTTGGCACCATTCCTGCAGGCTCAAATGGTCAATCCCTAGGAATAGAAATCATCATTTCTTTCTTGTTGATGTTCGTCATTTCTGGAGTAGCAACAGATTCTAGAGCTGTGAGTAATCAAATCGCGCTAATTTAACATTATTTGCTTTGTTTCACCATTTTTTTTTTCTAAGATTACAAAACCTTTTGCGTTGTAGATAGGAGAATTGGCTGGAATCGCGGTTGGAATGACTATAATGTTGAATGTTTTTGTTGCGGGGTAAGTTTTCACGTACAACACCGCGTTACATTGATGTACAACATTGTCATGTTACTAAAATATATGAGTACTAATGTTACAGGCCGATTTCGGGTGCATCAATTAATCCAGCACGGAGTATTGAACCTGCATTTATGAAGCAAAACTTCAAAGGGCTTTGGGTATACATAATAGGACCACCAATTGGGACTATTGTCGGAGGATTGACTTATAATCTTATTAGGTTCACGGACAAACCTCTTAGGGAGTTAACCAAAAGTTCGTCTTTTCTTAGGACCATGTCAAAGGTTTGAAGCCTTTTGGTTGTAATTTTTCTGGAATTTTGTTCATTTTATTTTATTACCTCCGGTCTAAATTACTCGCAATTTTGGGGTATTATTTGTGAGATATAAAATATTTCAAAGTTGCGAGTAATTTGGACCGAAAGTAGTATTTTATTTTTTATTTTTTATCTTAGGGTGTTAAGAAAAAGTGGTGGATTTTGTTATTTTTTTTTTTAATTTATAGCAAGGTTTGGTTTGAATTAGCGTGAAAAAACTAGAGAGAATAAATGTAATTAGTTTGGATAATGATAGATTCATTTTTATTTTTTGGTGAAAGAACACAACCTTCGGCTATTTTCTTCGAAAGTAACCTTTAAAGACTTGTTGGCGGCGTCAATGCAAGAAGATGGCGGCGAAGATTTCTTTGATGACTTCCAATTCCATCATACAATTGATCTTGAGTAAATGATTGTATCACCACTCCATTTAAGTCATCCATTGGCACCATATCACACAAAGCACGCATATCTTCCTCCATTTTCATTAACAACTTCGATAATCAAATTCTAAAACTTATGAAATCGCAACTCGCAATTTATTTTTGTTGTTTTTTTTTTTTCACGGACACAATTTGTTTTAATTATGACTACGGTAGTTGTTTATATATGTACCTATTAGATAAATTTGGTTATAAAGGGAAACTTCAGTCGGTCAACTCATAATTTAAATCGTAAAATATTATTCTTTTTTGAGGGATATTTAGTATAATTGTCTTTTCAAGTAAGCAGTGGAGGGGTATATGCGTCTTCTTATGTGCTAGTTGAGGGGTACATGTGTAATTTCTTCACCAAACAGTAAAAACAAAAAGCAAACAGTAACTGAACAACTCACCAAAAGTACTGAATAAATAACCCTGTTTTTTCAATATATTTACAAAAATGCCATCAGATTAACAAAAAAAAATCATTTATCTGGCAAATTAACTTGCATTTTCCCTTCTTTTTTATCTTCTTAATTAATTTTCTAAAATATATATTATTATTCTTTTTAATTACTTTTGTTCTATTCCTTAGCTTTAGGATAGTTTTCAAATGGCTCAAGATGACAAAGAGAATGTTTAACTCTCTTAACCATACTAATACAAAAACTAAAACAAGGATTGGGGATATAAAAATTGTAAACTGCCTGATAATTATTCAAACTAGACTGTACCCGTACCAAATGATTATATAGAAAAAGTATTAAAAATATATTATAAGATAAATATATTTTAGATGCGGGAGGTTGATTTTGATATACACCATCCGTTCCCAAACTTCAACCTTTTAAAAGTAAGTGTATGTTCTCTTCAGCTTATTTTCATTTTAATTCTTAATTTTCTTCTTTAATAAAATATTTAGTTCAGTCAATGACAATATGCCCAAAGTTGGAACACACATATTCTTAGGTGCACACTCATGCACCTAGAAATAGGTGTAACAACAACACAATATGAATATTAACTTTTCAGAAAGTGAACATTAGGTTTCTTCTCCTTTATTTTTCTCCTTCATTTTTTATTTTCTCTCTCCTCTGTTTTTTTAATTTTCCCCCTTTTTTACACTTTTTTTATTGAATTTGTTTCTTACAACATGAAAGTAGTAATTAAGTATGAATTTTTGTGTGAATTTTGATTTTGTGCTTTAATTTTGATTGATTAAGGTATATATGGATCTTTGAATTCACAAATTATACTCTATTTTTTCTCTTTCCTTCTTTAATTCCTTTTTCTTTTTCTTTTTTTTTCCCTATTTTTCTCGTTTTTTCGATTTAACGATTGAATATGTTACTTACAATATGGAATTGGTTGTTTATTTGATTTTTTGAATTCATATGAATTGATTTTTTTTTTTTTGGCCTTCGATCAATTTCATTTGTGTATGAATTTCTTTTGATTTTCTGCATTTTTTTTATCAATGAACATAATCATGCAAAATATGAATATATGCATAGGTTCCCTTAAATGTGAACATTAGCTTTTTAGAAAGTGAACATAAGCATAAAACATATGAACATATGCATTTAAGAAAGTAAACATAACAATTCAAAATATGAACGTAAGCATTGGTTTCCTTAAAGTGAATATAACAAATAAAAAGATGAACATATGCTTAAAAAATATGATCATATGCATTTAAGAGAGAGAAGATATGCATAAATAGACTTAATGAAAACAACAAATATTTACTATGAATATTTACATTATGAACATATAAAATATTATTATGAATTTAAGGCACTTTATTATGAACATAAAAAATTGAACAAATAAAAATAATATGATTATGAAACATATGCATCATAATTCATAAGTATTAAAAATATGAACACATGAATTCAAAATATGAGCATATGCATTGGTTCATTTTTGAATGCGTATGTACATAATTAAGCATTTCAGAAGGTGAACACATACATAAAAAAATATGAACATATGAATTTAGAAAGTGAATATAAGCATTTCAAAAAGTTTACAAACGGATTCAAAATATGAACATAAGAATTCAAAATATAAACATATGCATTTCGAAATGTGAACATAAAATATCCGTTTGATTTCACTAATTTTTTTGACAATTCCAATAATAAATTTCGAACAATATTCAAACAAAATTAAGTGATAATCATATAAATTCAAACAAAATTAAGTGAAATTTATATAAAATTGCCTTTTTGGGGAGGATCCTTTTTATTTTGCATCTCTTTCCTAATGTCCATTGACGTTTTTGCAATTTTTTAGTGAAAGAATGAAATAGAGGAGAGAGAAAGTGAAAAAGAGGAGAGAGAAAATCATATAGAAGAAGAAGATTTTTGAGTTTGGAAATGACGTTATATTTATTGGGTGTGGGTGGATGTATTGGGTGTGGGTGAGTGCATTGCAGTTTCCGTGTTTTTTAGTTTTAGGGCTTTTTTTAATTGGGTTGTGTGTAATTAGGATTTTGGGCTACGTTGTTACACCTATTTAAGGTGCACAAGGGTGCACCTTTAATTCCTATTCACTACACCCTCCTTTAGCCATTAATACCTACTCCCCCCCCCCCCCTAAAATTACTGTAAAACCCTTACCCCCACTAACCACACCCCACTAACTGCATCCCACTAACCGCACTAGTTAGAACTTGCAGTTAATTCTCCATTTCTCTTCAACACCATATTCTCTCTCTTCAAATACTCAAAATCGCTACAATTCAAGAAAAAAATCTTCAAAATTACTGCAAATTGCATCAAAACATCTAAAAATGTCTGACATTCGAGATGAAGTTCGTCAATTGCAACTAAATTCCGAAAAAGAAGAGTAAGAATTTGTTCATTTAAGTAGAATTTTGAATGTAAACCCTAGATTTTTTTTTTTTTTTTTTTTTTTTTTTTTGCGTTTTGATATTCTAAAACAAACTCTACTATAATTACACTTATTTTTGTGCAAAATAGACTAAAATCTACTATATTTGGTGGTATTTTTAATTAGTAAAAACGAAACAGAGAAGAATACTTCGAAGGTTCCGTCGGAGAAGACGATTACTAAACAAATGTTCATTTCCAGTAAATGTTCATTTTCAATTTGATAGATGTTCATTATGATACTAGTATATGATCATTTATATTCTTACCTTACATCTACTAGGGTCCATTCTTGAATTCTTGAGAGAATATTACTCTAATTTTGTTCATGATCTTTACATATTAATAAATGTTTATTGGTATTTAAACATATGTTTATTTGAATGTAATTACGTACATTTTCATTCTCATATTGAAAATATCCACATAGATTATACTAATACATGTTTAACTTCATATTAAATTATATGCTCATGAGCATCATTTGAATGTTATACTACATACATTTTCGCTCAAATATTGATAGATGCTTATTCGAATTTGATACATAGATGTTCATTTGGATATGTGTATATTATTCACAGATATGTTAATGCATGTTCATTCACATGTTTAAAAATGTTCAAAAATAAATTACATATTGCTCATTCATCATAAACCTTTGATGATTCTATTTTAAAATATGATTCTATTTTAAAATATGTTAAAAAATAAATCACATATTGTCACTTACATTATTTGTGATATATATATGCTTATGTTATTTGTGATAATTTGTTCATTTATATAAAATAAAATGTACATTTTTGTTTTGCAATTGAACATTTATTAAATTTGTAATATCAATATAATGTTTATGCATATATATTGATTTACAAACACAATATATATTGTAGTTATGTTCTATATAGAGTGAAACACACGTTGCAATAATTTAGAGATGAAAACTATAAGCCTAAATTTATAAGGAGATAATGCCATCAATTATATTGAAAGATAAAAATGAACAACATAGTAATATGTAGGAATCATATTTTGATAAAAGCATGTTGAACCACAAGTAAGTTAATTTGACATATAGCATAATGTTCATTTTCATAACAATGAATACACACATTGACATTGTAATTTGTTTGACTTAAAGATACACCAAATCAAGAAGCTGAGAATACAATACATTGCTCAACTGATGCTATTTGGATTAAACAGAAGCTAGAGGCAATAGAAAAGGAGCAAGAAGATTTATGGAAGCTTATATTACTACAAATATTATTCTGTCGGTTATTTGATCATTTGGATTTCTAAATGATCAAGTACATTAATATTCATATTTTTTTTAATTCATTAGTGCTTGTTATATACTTATACACATATATATATATATCAAGAAATTAACGAAATACAATAAAATGTTCATTATCAAGAAGTTATATGTTCAATTACGTAACATTTATAACGAAATACAATAAAATGTTCGTAACCAAAAAGGCAAATGTTCAGTGTCAAAACAAAACATGTTCAGTTACATATCACTTATCAGAAAAATAAAAAAAAAATAAGCTGGAACAAATATATGTTGTTTCAATCCAAATTCTTACTTATTATTATTTGTCAACCTATTCGCTACATTAGTGTAAAAAAGAAAAAGCTAACAACCTATCATACTTAGAAGAAATATGTTGATTAGCTACCACGTTGAACACTTTGAACATCTCTTGGAACACTTGAAGGAACTTGAAAATTTCTTGAAACACTTGGACGTAATTGAACCTTTTCTCTTGGCACCCTTAAAGAAACTTGAACATCACTTGGAGCACTTGAATGAACTTGGCCTTTTCTTGGAGCACGCACTTGGACAATACTAAATTCTTTCTTAAAAACATATTCATTATACCTGCCATAAATTTCTTGTTCATAATTAAAATATGTAAAAAGTAACTCTGATTTAGTTGCTTCTTCATACAAAATTTCATCACTAGCACCCGCTGTATAAGTTTTAAAAATGAACATAATCAATGACAGATATGTACAAATACAAAACAGTACATATATAAATGATCATTTAGCATCATCAATTTGATCAAAATAATAAAATAAAATAAAGTACTAAACATTTAAAATATAATTAAAACATCTATAACAAAACATTAGTTTGAATCATAATGATCATTTAGAATTATGAAATTGATCAAAATTGTAAAACTACTAAAAAAAACCCACGAAAACGTATATAAAAAAATCTAATCACTCACAGAGAACAAGTCACAATCAACAATCATTAAACTAAAAACAGCAAACAAACTTGAATCATAAATCATACGAATCGAAATAAGAGACAAAATTTATTAAAATAAACTTCAATTCACTTGAATTATAACACCAAACCAAATTGAACTAAAACATAGGCTAAATTGATTTAAAAAAACTAGAAAAATCGAATAAAATCAACAAATAATTTAAAATAAAACAACTAACAAAATTGAATCAAACAATTGACCAGCAAGCATTAATCGAAATCAAAGGCAAAATTGATCAAATTGAACAACTCCAATCAGAGACAAAATAACTTCACAATCACGATCAAATTCGACAATCGAAGAATGTAGCACTTCATTATCACAATCAACAGCTCCAATCAATGATTCATCCATAAATAAGAGGAAAAAAAGTGATTGAAAGAGAAATAATGTTGAAGAAGAGAGAGAAAATGCCAAAAAAAATAAAAAAGCAAAAAAACAGAAAAATAGGTTTTGAATCATATATGTAAATGACTTGAGAGATAAGATATAAATAAATTTAAAAAAAAAAAAAAAAAAACTAGAAAAGCATAAACAGGTAAAACGATGTAGTATAATTGGGGGGAGTAGGCAGCATTGACTAAAGGGGGTTGTAGGTAAAAATTTTCAGTGCACCTTAGACTAATTGGTTGGAACAAACCGACTTTTGGGCTTTATATCAAATGCCCAGAATATCGATCTGGGCTTTAATAAAACTCGGCCCATATCTCTCTTCCATTTCCCGCGTGAATCGAAGAAAACAACTCGACATTGCAGAATTGCTGAGCAACATGAAGAATTCTGGAGTTTATCATCAGAAATTAAGCGGTAAATTCACTCTTTTTTGTTAATGGAAATTCTGAATTTTCTGAATTTCTTTGTTATTATGAATTTGTGTTATTTCAAATTTAAATAGGGTTTTTTGGACATAATTATCTAGTACTCCGTTTTTGTGATGAATGTTTGTATATTGTAACCAAACGATATAATTTCATAATGTTTGTTATTTAGCTTTAATACTAACGAAATCAATTGTGATTTTACCATCGATATCATCAATTGCAGCTAATTACATCATTTTCTATATTTTGGGAATTTAGGTTTTTGAAAGGGGGATTTTTTTTGTGCTGTTTTTATTTTTATTATTTACTGAAGTCAGATTTTTAGGGTTTACAGTGCTTATTTGTTTTAATGCAATAGGGATATGACTTGAAATGATGTGACTTTTATGAGTGATCTTTATGCAATGAATGACCCTCAGGTATGTTTGACAAAAATTAGTTGTTAATAGGCTAATAGCGAAAAATTGTTCCACTAACAAGTACTTCCTTTGTCCCTTTATTAGATGTCTATATCTAGCGTTTATTACTCACATGATAAAGAAAAGTAGACGTCTAATTGAGGGACGGAACAAGTAGTGATTTTTTTTTTTTTTTGAACAATAAGCAAGTAGTGATTAATTGTTTATTTATGGGCTCACAATAAAACTAGCTTTAGATTTTTAATTATATGGTTAAAAATAGTTACGTCAAAGTCTCACAGCTTCCCTAAACCACTACATTATTCAAAACATTACTTTCCAACTTTAGTCGCATTTTGACTTGGTTAAAATGTTAACCGCTACTTTAAAAAAATCATTACCAATAATGAAGCACGTCCTAAATGAAACATGAGATGGCTTATTAGAGTATATGCTAACTTTTGTGGTTTTGTGCCATCTTATTATATTCATCCTTTATACATATATGGAGTATGTTGCTTCCCAAGATTAGAGAAAACATTTTTGTTAACTATTGCTGCTACTATACATTACTGTCATTGTTGTACACGGAGGAGGAATTGAGTTAGTGTTATACCAACAGGTCACGAAATTCATAAGTTGCAGCAGACAATGAATCAGTGCAGATTAATGTCTTATTGCATATCCTATAAATCTAAGATGGTGTTATATATCCATTCTGTTTTAGGGACAGATTAATTTAGGAATGAGACATTATTTTTATGCTTATTTTACTAATTTCAACTAGCTATCTTCTTACATTCTCAAGTCTGATGAATCTCTTCATATTGGTATTTTTGAGCTTCTTTTTTTTGATGTTGTGTTACTCAATTTATATTATGATATTTAGACTATCAATCACTAGCTAAGCTTGTGGATTTTTAGTGATAAGTATAACATATTGATGGTGATTGTGAAAAAATGGTAATTGCTGTTCACTTGTTTGTCTGACATAACAATCTTGTTCATATGAATCACATCATATCCAATGAATGATAACCTTTCTTATTCCACTACTGCAAAAAAAAAAAAAAAAAAAAAAAAAAAGAGAACAAAAAGATAAAAAAAAAGAGGGTTTTTGTTCTGCAAGTACAATCTCCAAACTGTCTTCATGCTAGTCTGTAGTAGCACACAGGAAAAATATTTGTTGAGCAATGCTGGACTTGTTGATCAAGTAGGATCATTCATACATATAGTATGCAAATGATCAACACTTTGATTTTGGTATCTAATCTATCATGAAATAAGTTTGCACATATATAGGGAAATCATGAAGCATATTACTTACATCAAAAGCTGCTGCGAGCCTGCGTGTTTGTGAGAATGATCTAAATTCAGATACCATGTCTGATTTCTGATCTCTGTGAACAGTGAACAATATTTTATCAGTGAAGTGTTGATCTGATATCCCTTGTTTAAGTTATATTATTGAAAGATTTCTGAAGAACATAAATCAGGATGGTACATGACAAGGTGTATGGCTCTATTTATAGTTAAATGATCATATCCAACCTAAAGTAAAAGGTTGTTTGATCTTAGAACACCGCCCTAAATTAACTTTATTTCAAAATTTTGGTCTAATATTGTGTTGAACTGTTGATTGATACTTCTTAATTCTTATGTAGCAATTTTAATTTTTTTTCTAAGAAAATCACTAGTCTTGAATATTTTTTATGGTATAACTTATTGTTTTTACGTTTCTTGCAGTTTGATCTAATGACAGAGTTAAATTGTAAAAAGCTTTTACCAGGAGGACTCAAGGAGTATCAAGCTTATGCAGATATTTCTTGGACTGTCTGTGAATTGACTTGAATGAAGCGAATGTGAGAGATTTTTCCCCACTCAGGACCGTCCTCCTTTGCACATCTTTCCTGTAAAAGTGGGCATGATTTTATAACAAGTGCTGTCAGTCTGGTCATTCGCTGGATGACATCATGTGAAGGTAAACGAATCAAATTCTCGCAACACTTCAGCTCCAATTTCTGCAGTAATGAGAGATTCCCAATCCATTCTGGTACTTGCTCTACACACTCATCATTCATAATCCTCAACAGTTTGAGTGCTGGGAACAGAAGTTGAGTTGATTTTGTCGATTCAATTTCCAGGGACTGAAACCCTCCAATGGATAAAGAGCTGAGGTAGGGAAGGACTTGAAGCCCGTTTGGCAGGCAAGCCAACTTTTTGCATCCATTTATCTCTATTTCCTCAATATGAATCAACTGGCTAAAATCTGGTATATCTTCTAAATTATGACAATCGCGTATGTGTAACTTCTTCAAAGAGGAGCAATCCCCCATGCTGGCCGGGATCTCTCTCAGTTCTGGACACTCAACAATGGACAAACGAAGTAGGGAAGTAAGCCGGGTTCCTAGTCCAATGGGCAAAGATTGTAGATCAGAACAACAACGTAAAACCAATTCTTCAAGGCTGGTGCAATCAATCAGCTGATCAGGAAGTCTGGATAGCTCTGGCGCCTCATTGATATTGACTGAGGTAAGTGCACTACTACTTTCACTTATAACATTGTACAATGCTTGGCCTCTAAGACTATTGTCAACCTGCAAATGCCTGAGGGAAGGGAAGCTGGTAGGAGTTTGGACCAGTTTGTCACATAGCTCAATCCTTAGCATTTCAAGCAAGGGAAAGGCTGATGTAGCTAGTGGTACTAGACTAGTCTCTATTCCCAGCACACCACTTGGTGGGGGATTCCATTTCGTTAAGTTTTCAAAGCAAAGTATATTTAGCTTTTTCAAGGCTGGAAATACAATTGGTGCTAGCTCCTCAATATCATTACTAGAATGATAAAATTCATCCCCAATAGACGTGATAGACCATAAAGAGTACATAGACAGATCCCTTAGGCATGGTAGTTGCCCAAGCGCAGGGAGTTGCTGACAGCTTCTGCAATATAATAACTCAATATGCACTAGATTAGAAAATGGTCTTGAAGTACCAGCCTCACCAAAAGTCATCATACTCCTCATCCATGAAGGAAAATTTGGACCATCATAACCTGTTATCATGAGCAGTTTTAAATTTGGAGGCGGCTGGAGAGCATCTAATACTTCTAAGTGATTGCTTGCCCTTCCCCATCCCCAAATTAGTTGCAGCTCTGAAATGCCCTTTTTTTTGTGTATGCCCGCCTTTTCAGCTTCTCCCTTACTCTTCACATGTTCAAGTCCAGAGATAGATAAGAGGCCATGAATGTCATTTAAAACTCCCAATTCACCAATTTCCCATCCGAAGCCTTCATTCAACTCTAGCATCGGTAGAGTCTGGAGTGCACTTAACCGTTCAATCCCTCTAGGTAGGCACCATGAACGTGATGTAAGATCTAGGTGTCTTAAGTTGACTAACCTATACAACTTTTGAGGTAATTCCCTGAGCTTGTAACTGAAAAGCCTGAATGTTTGCAGATGGTAGAGGCTTGTAATTGATTCTGGAAGCATAACTATTGAATTATGTGATAGGTCTACGTATCTTAAATGACTGAGCCTGCCAATTGCCGGAGGTACTTTCTTTAGACCAGTTGCAGCTAATTTTAGGACACGCAAGTGTTTGGCATGTGCCAATAGATCCATGGGCAACCTAATAGTAGAATGTAGTGTCCGTAAGTCCCTTAACCATATCATATCTTCTACTGGAGATTCTGAGGCTATGTCATTATCTTCAGGAAATATGGCTAGATGCCGACCACTAGAAGGATTACCAACCGTGTCTACCCCCTTCCAGATCACCCAATCGTGTCTAGAGATGTAAAGAGCCATATCATGCACCAAGTAATGCATACGATATTGTGTTACATCACCATCTATAGAACACCGTGTTGCTGCTTGTATAAGTGAACTGCTTAACAATATATCAACATATTTTCTTCCAAGTTCCTCGGGTGTCAAATTTCCTCCTTCTGATTGACAATGAAGGAAACCCTGAGCATTCCAGAGATTGATTAAATCTTCTTGGTCAATGAGGACTTCCTTTGGAAATATTGCACAGTAAGCAAAACATTGTTTTAAAGAGGTAGATGGCAAGTTATTAAAACTCAACATTAAGGAAGGTAGAATATTATTGTTCTCTTCTGGAAGACTCCACATTGTGCTCTTCTCAATAGATCTCCACTCACTTGGATCTTCCTTCATTCGTAATAAGCCTCCTATCACATCAATTGCTAATGGTAATCCCTTGCATTTTTTCACAATCTTTCTCCCAATTTCCTCAAGTCCTGGGTGAGATGTTGGTATTCCTTTTGGGAAAGCCTTCTGCACAAAGAAGGCCCAGCTTTCATCATCAGATAATCCTGTTAGCTGGTGAATATGTTGGCTCTCTGCTGTTTTTGCAACGTCTTTGTTGCGAGTTGTAACTATAATCATGCTTCCTGTGGTACCTCCTATTCTTCGCAAGGAGTTCTTGAAAGAATTCCATTTGGTTTGATTTTGATCCCATACATCATCAAGCACAAGTAAGTATCGTCTACCTCTGACAAGCTGTTGAACCCTTTCTATAATGTCTTCTGTATTTGACAGCTGACATTTCCCTCCTGTAAGCTTTTCGAACATCACACACAATACCCTCTTCACATTGAAGGTATCAGATATGCAGATCCAAAATCTTTCTGTAAAGTGCTCGGCAACTGCTTCGTTTTCATACAATTGTCTTGCCAATGTTGTTTTTCCTAGACCTGTAATTCCAAGATATGATGTCTTATGGTCTGCCTGTTTATACATTATTTAAAAATCATGACAACTGAAAAGTTTAACTGTTATGTGTTTTGAAATTTGTGGGTAACTAGAATTTGTTTGACATCATTTTTATAGTGTTCTATTCTTATGTTAAGTTAATTATAATAGTCTTAGTTAAGAGATAAGATTTGATAAATTTAGCAATGATAAGAAGAATCATGATCTCTGTATGAACTGATGGTTCCCCTAAAGACTACACAACTTTGAAGGTTTTTTTTATTTTTATTTTTATTTTATTTTTTAATTAACTTTGGTGATCCTCATTTATGGGATTAAGACTTTGATTGATTGATTGATTTTACTTTGACGATTAACTTTGAAAACGTTGGAATTAGAATTTAGATTGAAAATTCAAAATTGTTACCAGATAGCACCTAAAATATGGTTTTGGGGGAAAGGAGAAAATTTACAAGTTTTATAAGATGGATGATCATATGTAGGAGTAAGAAAATCAGGGGAGAAAAGAAAAACACAAGTTTAAGATGTCGAATATCAGTACCTCCCATACCAACAATGGCTATGGTCAAGACATCGTCGTTGTTGCTATGATCACAAAGAACATCTGTGAGCTCCTTTAGATCATGTTGCCTCCCTACAAATTCTAGCCTATGTGCAACTGCTAATTCTCGAACTTCATCCAAGCTGTTGTCAGTGTTTCTCTTCATTATCCCTTTGTAGCTAGCTCCTCGTAGATCATCATCTGCTATCTCTGCTGGCCTAATACCGAGTCTTTTAGCATCCTTGTATAAGTCATCAAAGGACCTAAGAACACTCTTGACCTTGCTAGACATTCTAAAGCGGAAGGCTAAAGGATTAGAATCAGAGAGAGTTGAGTAGTTGTGACACTTCTTCTTGAATGATCGCTTCTTGAGCTTTATGAGAGCTAATAGCTTCCTTCCTGATTTAAAATTGTTGTTGCTGTACTTTAATTCCCATGAAATTGATCTCCGGCGGAGGATTTCATAGACATAATCATCCATTACATCATCAGCTAGGTAAGCAATATTCATGACTTTCCTGAGCCAAGCATTCACAATTTGGCTATCTCCTCTATGTCTTTGATTCAACCTCTCATTGTCTTGAAGAAAAGCTTGGATGTATGTGAATTCATCTTTAAGCTTCTGTAACTGCTGCTTGATTCCCCAAGCTAGCTTTGCCTGCTCTACAGGACGCGTAATCACCAGCTTAGTTATTGCCTTTGCTGCTTCAATATAAAGAGCTTCCATTATCTTTAGATTATTTTTCAGCTCATTGGTAACATAGATGACAGAGAGCAGGGAAATAATTGATTTAGCTTCAATGACACAAGGTGGAGCGTGGAAGTGGAGTGAACAAGTGGGCTCAAGGCGACTATATGTATTACTTGCAAATATCTTTGACTAGTATATGTGAACTTAACACTCTCGTTGGTAGACATAGTTATCGGGTCAATAGTATGTCGGGTCATAAGCAAGCTGCCTTTAGCGGGTCAGAATAGCCATTAGCCAGGCTAAAGCAGGTCAACAATGGTCAATGCCAAAAAAGTAGGCCAATATAATCAAGGGCCACCATACTAATTTGTCTTTAATTCATACTTGTATCTTTGATTAATATAAACTCTCCAAGTATGGTACAACTTAGATGTCTTGACTTATGTTGCAATGTCTTTAGAATATTCTTTAGTCTTAAATGACCTGTGATTTACAATAAACTAGCCTGGTTTTTATTTTTTATTTATTTTTTTTTTTTAAAAAAACTAGTCTATTCACTCAATAATGGTTGGATAAATCTTCAACACCTTCCTTGAAAAGGAAACTTCTATCTTGTTTTGCTTTGTTTATTTAATCTTATTGCTTCTTCATTGATAGAGCAAAATGAAGAAACGTCAAGACTATTGTTCTTGTGTTTCTAAATATGTATTGTAGCCGAGTATACATAATTATATACTTCGTAATTTATATTGATGGTTTAGAATATTCTTTTGGTCTACAGGGACATGTAAAAGACATAAAAGAATCATACACTCATACCCCTTAATTTTTCAGCTGAGAGATGATACTGGGTAGGGTATTCTGATAATAATAAGGTCATATTTAAGCTTAGAGGGCTTTTAATGGACATGGTCTATAATGAACAAGACCCTTATTGAGTAGAGTCAATATAGGGCCAAAATGTTTTTCCAATTTAATTAATAAATAAAATAGATGATGTAAAAATAATTACATAGATAAATTTGTATTCATATTAATCATATATACTTAATAATAGTTGTGTCCAATATTTAATTTAGGAAATTTTCACATTTGCTACCACTAAAAACACCACGCTTCACATTTGCTACCTGTTTAAATTTTTTTTTTTTTACTACCACTTAAAACAGAGTTTGTTAAAAATCACTACCACATGCCCTATTCTGTTACTATTTCCGTTAGTGGGCCCACTCCACCGTTTAGCCATCCCTCCAACCACCTTGCAGCCACCCCTCCTCCTCACTGCCACCCCTCACCTCCCCCCTCCCCCTGCCGGCGCCGGCGCCGCCGCACCAACCCACCCCCTCCCTTTCCCCCACCTTATGCGCATCCAATCCCCCCTTTCCATTTCCCGTTCTTGAGCTCCGACCCCCACCCCGAACGAAAACCACCCCCTTTCCCCTTCCCTCCACCGGAAATCGGCCCCCCTCCCCTGATTCCCCCACCGAAATCGATCCCCTCCCCTTCCCCTACCCTTTTCGGCCGTCCCTAACCCTAAACCACCACCCCAAAACCACCCTAAACGAATTTTAGGGTTTCGGTTGTGGTGGTTTTGGGGTGGTGGTTTAGGGTCAGGGATGGCCGAAAAGGGTAGGGGAAGGGGAGGAGGGTCGATTTCGATGGGGGAATCAGGGGAAGGGGGCCGATTTCCGGTGGAGGGAAGGGGAAAGGGGGTTACGGTGATGTTGGTATGGGTTTTGGGGGTTACGGTGGCGGTGGTGGTCTGGGTATGGGGGTGTCGGCTTAGGATTGTCAATTTTGGGTGGGGAAAAGGGAGGGGGTGAGGTCGCCGTCGCCGGCGCCGGCCGAATCTTTAGGCGCCGGCCGCCGGAAGGGGGGAGGGTGGCAGATTAGGGGAGGGAGAGGGTGGCAGATTAGGGGAGAGGGTTGCTGTTTTTTTTTTTAAAATTTTGTTAAATTTTTTTAAAAATCTGTTTAATTTTTCTTTTTTTTTTTAGATAAACTTAACGGAAATCCTAACGGATTCCGTTAAGTGGTAGTGATTTTTAACAAAGTCTGATTTAGGTGGTAGCAAAGGAAAAAAAAAATTAAATAGGTAGCAAATCTGAAGCGAGGCGTTTTAGGTGGTAGCAAATGTGAAAATTTCCTTTAATTTAATTGATATTTTGTAGGCTCGACCCAATATTAACCCTATGAAATGTGACCCTCTTTAACCCAATCCATTACCAACCCGCACCGAATCTGACACGACCCGCCCAATAAACAGGTCTAGTCCTCTTGACTAACAAGTTTAATAAAGTTCAATGTGCCAACAATTGGATATTTGGAGGCAATGTTTGCCTAAGCGACAACACACAATCCGTGTAATACTTAGCTTCATCTTCACTCCATCCATAACCTCACATTGGTAAATCATCTTCGTCTTGAAACGAGATAGCAGAAAACGTGAGGATCTGTGTAGAGAAACTACAATTTTTGAAGAGAAACAACGTTATTAAGAGTACCCACAGCCATTAACTATTTGGGTGGTTATTAAGAGAGAGAAAATGAAAATATTAATAAAATATTGAGGAGAGAGAAATTATTGGGGTATCAATTGAATAACCAGGTTATTCAAATAACCGGTTATGTATATGGTCATGCAATTTTTTTTTTTGCTTTTTGGTTGACATGGATGGCTAAGATTTTGACACGTAATACAAATATCAATGGTTGAGATTTGCTCTGAATTTATAACCGTTGTAATTTTTGTAACGGCCATAATTTTTAAAATACAATTCTGAAAAGAAAAAAAAAATACACCAACGGCTCTATTTTATTTTTCTCTATAAAATGAGCCCAATATTGAAGTATTTTGAAACAACTTTTTTTTAAGTGAAAATTACTCTTCTTATTGGCAAATTGTGTTAAGATGAACATTCCAAAATCTAACAGAAAAAAAAATCCACAAAATCTCATAACTCATCACAGCCCCAAAATAATCCAAATCCTCAACCTTACTATTCTAATCTTCCAATTGATCTCAACTCAGATTTAGATACAAATTTTCAAAATTTTCCGAATTACGGTTCACAAAATCTCAATTTCTCAAATCCAAGTACTTTCACTCCGTTTCCTTTTCAACCACCACAAAATCCTAATTATTCAAATTCTCCAAATGTTATCCCATCTTTTGAAAATATTCAAATCTCTCAAATTGATTCAACATTTCCCATGTCTCAACATTTTTCTATGTCACAAGGTGATGGTGCATTTCCGAGTTTCGATTGTTCATACACATCGAATGCATCAGATGACGAAAATGAACCAGAAGTTGAAGAAGGCGAAGGTAATGAAAGAGGTAATGAAGGAGGCAATCAAGATGGAAGGAAAATTTTTTGGTCAAAAGCTGAAGAAGTGGTTCTTGTGAAGGCTTGGCTTGAGGTTAGTCAAAATAAAAAAAACTAACACTAACCAAAAGGGAGATGTTTTTTGGAGGAAAATTGAAGAAATGTATAATAATGTTAGACTATACAAACAAAGGTGTTTCGAAGAAGGTACTGATCGGGTAACACGAGAAGATTTGTTGAAAATGAGGGGTACGGAGCAACTTAGAAACCGTTGGAGAAGGATTAATGCTTCATGTTCTAAATTTTGTGGCTCACATGCTCATGCTGAATCAAAAAAGGGAAGTGGTATGAATGATGAAGATGTTATGAAATTAGCATATAGTATATATGCTAACGACAAAACAAAGTCTTCATTATGCTCTAAAACCTTTCAAGACAAGCATGTTTGGGACATCTTAAAACAACATGAAGCATGGAAACCAAGTGAAGATGTTGTCAAAAAATGCAAGGAAAAGACATCCACTCAAGGAAGTGACTCAAAGAGATCTCGTATCAATGAAGCTGGAAACTACTCCTCTTCATCAAACCCAGAAACACCAACCAGTGGTGATATTGGGTATTCAGGCTTTCCTTCTAGCAACGAATCTAGTAAAAATAAAGGAAAGAGCAAGGTGCCAAACATGCCAAGTGGAGCATGGCAACAATGGTTGGACACTGCCCAGAACATGAACCTTATAAGGCAATCAGAAAATGAAGTTGAACTTACAAGGTTGCAACTAGAAAGGGAGAAAGAAGCAAGGAAGCAAAGAAAAATTAATATGGAGTTATTTAAACACCTCGATTCAAAGCCAAACTTATCTTCGGAAGATCAAGAATTAAGGAGCACTTTGTTGAAGAAGTTTTTCGCCTCAGACTAATGTATTAGTGTATGGTTGATTATTGTCGTAATGTTGGTTGATTTCAAATAATTCCTTTTTTATTGTTCTTTTTTATGTACTTAAGGTCTGATTTGTAGTTTGAATATTTTTAATAAGTTGTTGTTTGAGGATGTGAATGAATTTTATATTGTAATGTCATTATTAATAAAAAAAAATTAAGTTAAATTACATGTCTCTTCTTATAATCGTATTATAAGCTTAATAATATTATTCAATACATTAAAGTTTGTATATAATAACATATAATTATTATTGATCTGACTAAACCTATTGATTCACTTTGATATATCACTGCAAAAGATGTACATTGATTTACATTACACTGTAAAGTATTTGATGTACCCAACACTGAAAAGCAAATATTAAATACTAGACATTGATGTACTTAACACTGAAAAGGTAATAGTGAATTTTGTTCACTGATGTACTTAACACTGAAAAGGAAATAGTAGCATGCATCACTTGCTTTGACGTACATAACAATGTTAAGGTGATAGTGACAATGCAAAGGCATGCATCTCCATTACTTTTAAAAATTATTAACTACTTTATGAATCATTGCATGCATGCAAGACTTCAAATTTACCATATAAGACAAAAAAATTACTACATATCATACACACTTGTTCTATAAGATGGATACATCAGAGTGGGATTCCCTTGAACAACCATCCATTTCCCCCTATTATACTTCTACCTTCCATTCTCATATCAAATTTGGTTTTAAAAACATGTCATCTGACGATAGCTCCAACTCTTCTAATTCCTCTTCCAATTCAGAAAATAGCCAAACCCAACGATATGAAAGACGAAGGCAAGCCAATCGCCAGTTCGATCGAATGATGGATGAAGTTTTTATGTCCAATCCAGTTGAAGTATATCAAATGTTTAATCAAGTGCCAAGGCCACCAAGGGTTCCCGTTCCAAGGGATCGTGAGGATGGACACAGTCGTTTATGGAATGACTACTTTACCGACCATCCTGTGTTCCCTCCACAATTATTCCGTCGGAGATTTCGCATGAACAAACATATATTTCTCCGAATTAAGCAAACTTTAGAAGAACGTCATCCCTTCTTCCAGCAAAGACAAGATGCTACAGGAAGATTTGGTGCCTCTGCATTACAAAAATGCACCGCGGCTATGAGACTAATAGCTTATGGCACCTCCGCTGATTCTGTGGATGACTACATTCGGATTAGTGCATCTCTTGCAAGAGATTCACTTCAGCATTTTGTGGAAGGAATAGTCTCTTACTTTAGTGATGAATACCTTCGAAAGCCCAATGAAGAAGATCTAGTAAGACTACTAAGGATTGGTGAACGTCGTGGATTTCCTGGCATGTTAGGTTCTATTGATTGTATGCATTGGAGGTGGAAAAACTGTCCACTTCGATTAAAAGGTATGTTTTCTGGAAGACCAGGTAAACCCACATTAATCTTGGAAGTTGTGGCATCATATGATCTTTGGATCTGGCATGCCTTTTTTGGGACACCAGGTAGTCGTAATGATATTAATGTTCTTGATAGATCCCCATTGTTTAATGATGTTTTTGAAGGTTGTGCACCCTCTATTAACTATGTTGTGAATGGTCGCACATACAATATGGGATATTATCTCACTGATGGTATATATCCTAAATGGGCGGCATTCATTCCTACAATATCACTACCACAAAATGAAAAAGAAGGTCTATTTGCCAAAGTACAAGAAGCTAAACGAAAGGACGTTGAGCGTGCTTTTGGAGTATTACAAGCTCGTTTTGCAATAATACGGAATCCAGCGCTAGCTCGTGACGCATCAATGTTAGGAAAAATAATGATAGCGTGTATTATTATGCACAATATGATTGTTGAGGATGAAAGAGATACATATAAAACGTATTACGATCCAAATGAATATGATCAAGCTACAAATGCGTCTTCAAGTAATGAAAATAATGAAGAGCCTTTTCAGTTCCAAAATAGCAACAACCGAATTGCAAGTTTGGAAACTTACATGTCTAATAGAGCACGTGTTCGTGATGAAGCTATGCATAAAGCATTGAAGAAAGACTTAGTTGAACATATGTGGCTCAAATTCGGTGTTCAAAGTAGGGACAATAATATGCATTAATAGATGTGTAATCGCAATATTATATCATTGTGTTTGTACTTGTTCGCGGTTCGTTATTATCTTTCAAAGACTTTTGTCATTTGATAAAATATATATGTATGATTTTTATTATTGTGGAATGTAGTAGGGTTACAATTATTGTTTGTGTCTTAATTAACGACTAATTACGTACTAATTAATATCAAAATTGCATTATTTTTAAATTTTTGAGATTTTATCTAATTAATGTATGCTAATAAATAATTATTAATTTTGAATGATTATTACCAAATGCATTATTTAATAATAATAGAATTTAAGTAATAAATTGTGTGGTGGGGTTGGGTAAAAGTAGGAGAGAGAAAATGTATAACCAAAATATTATGGTTAACTATTGGCATACATTGGTTATTAAATGGTTATAAGAGTGGTTATAAGTGAGGTGGAAGATGGATAAAATAATAAAATAATCAATAACCAAGATGGGGTTGGGCAACCATTGTGTATGCTCTAATAAGATATAATACTTATATAAAAAAAAGATAGGTAATAAATTTCATCAACCTTGAGATTTTCACGTGTTATAGCTGGGGTGTGAGTGTGTCCTTTATTACATATTATTATACAATTGTTACTATCGACATCTAAACACTTTGAGATTATTATATATATATATATGGTGTAAGAGCGGGGTGAGAATCGATCGTAAGATCTCCTGAAACTTGGAGGGAAATTCAAACCACTTGAGCTCTCTTTCACTCCCCTCACCTGTTTTTTTTTTTTAGTTGTGGTCCTTGTGGAGTTGCGCACAAAACTTCAAGGTAGTCAAAATAATTTTGCAAAATATGTTGGTATTATGTTGTCACTTTTTTTTTTCCTTTCAATTAAACTATGGATTTTCTTTTGCCGCGCACATTGCACTAAAAATGAAAAACAAATACTGCAAAAACGAGTTTTTATGAATTTGCAATTTTTATTATGTATGGTTTGTTCAAACTCTACGCAAAGATGCTAAAAGACCAAAACACGTATTGACGTATACCCACATGTATCATCAACCCAAATTCCTTGTAGAAATTTTACTAATTTGAAAAATGTATACCAAGTGGAGCAGTATATACAATGAATATACAAGTTAGTTCTGCGTATATAAATATTATCAACTTGCCTGAGTATCACAAAACAGCAACTAATCCTTGTTTTTGTCTAATTAAAATCTCAAAACCACTGGTTTTTCATTACACAGTTTTCCTTTATCATATTTATCATCACCATTGATGATCAAATCATATTTTATAATCTATAGAATGGTTTCAACTTTCAAGACAAAAGACTACTTCCTAAACTCACCTTATGTTGATATATAGTATAATGGTTAATTGGTTACTAGTATAAATAAAACAAAAGTCATGATATTTTTCATCATTCAATTTCAACAAAAAAGTACAATCTCTTCTTCTAATAAGTTACATTTCAAACACCTTACAATAACTAGAAACTAGAAAGTAAATATTAAACCATGTCATCAAAGGTTGCCCATATGGATGATGTTGAGCTCTCGAAAATGGAAGAAGGATCTGCCCGCGGCACAAGCAATAATAATCAGTCCACCACCGGTGTGCCTACCAATAATGTATCCTCTAGTTCAAGCTTCCCAGTTGTGTTAGCAACCACTTTGCAGAAGGTAAATTCCCTTGATAAGTTGTTACCCTCTAAAATGTTAGGAACATATCCCCTATTGTATTGTACACAACACTGTAAGGGCTCATTTTCACCTATATCATGCTGAAGCTAAATTTTGCTTTATGTTGCCATGCAGTTAATAGCAGAGTTCATTGGAACATACCTCATAGTATTCACAGGATGTGCAGCAATAATAGTGGAAAAGACCAAAGGCGAAGTGACATACCCCGGAATCTGTCTCACTTGGGGCTTAATTATCATGATTGTAGTATACACTTTGGAGCATATATCATGCCACTTTAATCCATCAGTCACCATTACTTGTGCTCTTCTCAAAGGGTTTCCCTGGAAACAGGTCAATCTTATTTTCACTCTAATCAATGGATAATTTACTAGGAATGATCACTGATAAATTTTAAGTATAGGAATTTGATTTTCTTGATTGCTGATTTATATGTTTCTCTGTTTTTATGTAGGTTCCCTTTTATATTAGTGCTCAAATATTGGGATCATTTCTTGCAAGTGGCACTTTATATCTTTTGCTTGATGTACCTCCTAAGGCTTACTTTGGGAATCTGCCTTCTGGTTCAGATGCTCAATCTGTAGTTATGGAGATCATTATTTCATTCATCCTCATGTTTGTCATTTTTGGCACTGCCTTTGACGAAAGAGCGGTTAGTTTCTAATCCTTATAGAACTTTAAATTCCTTCAACTAGCTTAGCAAACGAGGCCTAAGCCCCTACTAGCCATTTCTTGTATACATTGCAATGTTTGCTGACACCCTTGTTTATTTTGCTGTTACAGCATAACCAGTTTGCTGGGGTGGCCATTGGCATGACAGTACTAATGAATGCCTTGATTGCTGGGTATGTTTTTATCAAATTGCTTAGTTTTTCATAAGGTTATTCTGTGTCTAAACATACATTTAACTAATAATTTACCTAAACATAAACACTGCAGGACGATTTCAGGAGCTTCGATGAATCCTGCAAGAAGTATAGGACCAGCAGTAGTCATGCACGTCTACAAAGGACTTTGGATTTATGTTGTTGGTCCAACAATCGGGTGCATACTAGGTGGAGTCGCCTATAGCTCGATGCGATACATGGACCAATTCCCAGCTAAGTTCGCTAGTTGGAGCACCTCATTTGATAAGAAGTTGATCAATTGGTTTGGTATATTGAAGGGCAAATTCTTTGATGCATTCCATAAAGTTCATTAGGCTTAGTACCATATTTGGATTGTGAACTTGTAAATGCAACTGTAATGACCCTTGATTCTTCTTTACTCCTTTTAGTTCATGAATAAAATTCATGTATCATGTACATTTTTTTTTTTTTTTTGAAAACCATGTATCATGTACATTCGATTTAACAAGCAATGCATTAACAGCCATCTCTTATGCATGCTAAGATATGCTCTGTTGTAGGGTTGTGCACAATAGGTTAACCGTACCGTTTAGCCTTAACGGTACGGTTAACCATTATGTCGGTTACTTAAAATTTCAAACCGTAACCGTACCGTTAAGGAACGGTTAACAGCTTAACGGTTAACCGTTCCTTAACGGTACGGTTACAGGTTAACCATTAACCGTTTAATAAATTTTAAACCCTGCATTACTTTCAATAGTTCCAAACATCCAACTCTAATACAAACTTAAAAATAAAGTAATAAATAATAAAATTCATGTTCTAATTAAGATTACAAATCCATAAACCAAATACATTACAAAGTTTTAATTCGTACTAAGTTTTTTTAATTCGTACCCAATTTCCCCAAATTGATTTGTACACTAATTCAAAAAAAATATATATTTATTTATTTTAACGGTTAACCGATGGTTAACCGTTTACTAAAACTTGTAACCATAACCGTTAATCGCTATATTTAGCGGTACGGTTAACCGTAACCGTTTAATTTAAACGGTTCGGTAAATTAACCGTTTAAATGAGCCGGTTACACCGATTAACGGTTACGGTTTTTTTGCACACCCCTACTCTGTTGGAACATCAAAACGCACAAGCACTTTGTATACTTTGGCCATGTTTGGAAGATAGCTTATTTGGAGCAAAATTAGCCTTATTTTTAGAAAATAAATACAAGTACATATTATTGTTAACTTTCTGCAATTTGAGTATAACAGTCAAAATGCAATTATTAATTTTTATTTTTTTAGCACCCACAAATAGCACGGTGCTCCAAGGTGCATAATAAGAATTTTGGTCAAAATTTTTTAATAAAAACAAGTCAAAATTGTCAAAAATCCTTGTTTTAAAGTCTAATTGTTAACTTTTTTTTTTGAAATAAAATTGGTTATACGACATCTATAAAGAGATTTAGATCTACCAAATACATAATAATTGAATCAAATAAAAACATTCCGTAAGCAAAGCTACGATCGTTGTTGCAAATCGTACATTATTCATAACCTCTCTCATATCGTTGTGATTTACAGCCTTCTCCAGGAAGGGGTCTATCGATATGTTGTAGCCGTGCAGAAAATTTTCGCTTGATTCGTAAGATTGTAATCGAAATAATTATCTCTTTGTTGATCCCGCACAAAGTTTTACCCATGAAACAACTGTATAGTAATCCATGAAATAAAAAAAACAATTCCTCCCTCAAAAGAGAGAAGAAAAATCTAGTATTTCGAAGGAGCCAAATCCTCCTAAAGAAGAAAAAAAAACCTGTCTTTCGAGGGAGAAATATTCGTCTTAGAAGAGGAAGAGTTGTTATAAAACCTAAAACTAGATAAAAAGAACACAAAATCATACGATTGGGGCTTTCCACCGGTAAAAACCAATGAAAGCCCCTCCAAAAATCAACAATGGAGGCTAGGGTTTTAGAGAGAGGATAGATAGGCTAGGGTTTTTTTAATAAACCAACTCTTGCTTGTTTATTTATTAGTCAATTTGTTAACTACGAGTAGTACCTTACTTGAATTATTTTGTGTCTATAGCACCTTGAATTAAATTTTGTTTTTAAAATGATACAATAATAATGGATTCCGACCACATAATAATCAAATCTTTAGTGCAAAAACAAATCTCAAAATTGTAACAAATTCCGCCATTACAAGCGATCCTATTTATCGCTTTCATCCTTCATTTTACTCCCTCCGTTACGATTTAATCGCAACAGTTACTAAAAATGGCCGGTACACATTACTTGCAACAAACTTATTTATTTCCCTTTATGGTAAGTTTTTTTGTGTGATTTTACAACATTACCTTTACTTTTTTTTTTTTCTAAACACCCTAATTAAACTTCTAATTTTGTATTATTAACTTAAACCCTAACATTAATTAACTTAAACATTTCTACCAAAATCATTCACCTTCCATCCAAATTCATCATCATCTTAATTGGCAACCACCACCACCACCACCACCATACTACCACCACAACTCCACTGTATTTAACCAGAAATTTCTCTCTCTTTGTTCATCTCCCCCGGTCTCCACCGCAACCATGGCTATCTATTGTCGCCGGAACTCACTATCGATATCCTCTTGGTTTTCATCGCCTTCTCTCTCTTTACCCAGAAATCGGGGTTGTTGTGGTACTTTATTTACCCAGAAATCGGGGTTGTCGATCTCTTCCTTCTCTTGGTAATTTTCCAGATCTGATTGTTTTCTAGGTTCCATGGATTTGTTGAGGGTTCGCGGGCTTCGTGGTGGGTGGTTGGTGATAGGTGGTGGTTCGTTTGTATATGGTTTGTGGATCGTGGTTTGTGCTGGGAGCTGGGTCAAATTCGTGGTTTTGGGTCGAAATCGGGGTGTTGGGTCAAAATCGAAGGTGGTGGTGGGTCGAAATCGTGGTTGTGGGCGCAATTAGGGATGGTGGTGGGTCGAAATCGTGGTTCTGGTTTCGATTGTGGTGGTGGTGGTGGTCGTGGTATGGTGCTAGGTGATGGTGCTGCTAGGTGGTGGTTTGCTGCTAGGTGGTGGTGCTGCTGCTGATAGGTGCTAAGTGGTTGTATTTGATTTTTTTTTTTGGGTTGGATTAATACTAAACACATGCCATTATATTTTGTTAATTACACTTACCATCTTCTGCCTAGGATTCCGCAAACTCCCTCTTTGTTGCGAGTAAATCGTAACGGAGGGAGTATTATTTTTCATCACTAGCTAATCACTTCAAAGAAAAATGTAATAAAATATCAATGAAATCACATTCGATATAAACCTAAGATGTTTCGAATCCGAGTCATTAGACCAATCTTATCCAATATGATTGGATGCAACGAAATCACATCGACCTATACATTAGCTGTTTCTGATCCGAATCTGATCCGAATCACCTCAATGAAATCAAATACAATGAAATCAAATCAAATCAACCTAAGTAATAGATGTTTCTGATCGTACACCAATCTAATCCAATCCAATCACATCAACACTTTTCTTTTCTCTCTTCAAAAGTGCTCAATTAGTCTTCCAATTAGTTTTATAAAATAAAAAACCCAAAAAAACATCGCCGGAATACTCGCCGTGAAACCAAAGACTTCGGTCAACTTTCCGTTGAATCCAGTTTACTTCAAACTATAAATACACAAGTACTTCTCTCTAAACTAAATCATCTTCCCAGAAAAACACAACAAAAATATCATTTCTTCAACTCAGTCAGACTTTCTCACTTTCCATCATCTTCATTTTCTCTCTCCTCTAAAACCCTAATTCCCAAATTCCTCCCAAATCATCTTCTGATTTCTCGGTTAATCAATCAATTGATTGATCAAATTCGTCGGAAAAATGGGAGATCAACTGGAAAGATTAGGATCAGAGGGAGTTTCAGCTGGTTTAGAATCGACAATTAAAAGTGAACTTTGCATGGAAATTGATCCTCCGATTAGTGAAAATACTGCAACTGCTGAAGATTGGAGGAAAGCACTCAACAACGTTGTACCTGCTGTTGTTGTTCTTCGTACTACTGCTTGTCGCGCTTTCGACACTGAATCTGCTAGTGCTGGTTATGCTACTGGTTTCGTCGTCGATAAACGTCGCGGAATTATTCTTACTAATCGTCATGTTGTCAAACCAGGTAATCGTATATTTTTCAAGAAAAAAAAATAGTTTATTTGATGTTGATCAAGTTAATTTAGTGTGTAATTTTGTAATTATTAATTAATATAATGTTGTTTGTCTTTGAATTTTTTAATTAACAGGGCCAGTGGTGGCGGAAGCAACTTTTTTGAATCGAGAAGAGATTCCTGTTTTTCCAGTATATAGAGATCCGGTGAGTGAACATTGTTGAGATTTTGTCTTTTAAGATTCTTGTGGTACAGGAAGATTCTTATTTGTGGTATGTTCTTCTGTGAGTTAAAGGAAGAATATTTTTGTTTGATCATGTGTTTGTTTTTGAGTTTAATGTTTCTTTTGAAGAATATGCGCCTTTCTGCATCGATTATTGCGTGTGTTAATTTAATGGTGATTCGGCGATAAAGTTGAAACTAGATAGATGCTGTGTGTGGTTGATACTTCTATACATTTGTAAATTTGTATTGCATATGGTTAGACCTGAGAATATATGTGTATGTGCTTATGAATGTGAATTTGATGGACAATTTGATTGGTACTTGATAGTCATATTAAACACAGTTCCGTTTTCTCCATTGCCTGTGTTCTTTGCCCAAGCCACCCTGATCATGCTGGTTTAATTAAGAGAAGAAATAAGCTCTCTGTTATTATTCGAAAAAATGATCTGGATAATGAGGAGACTGCGAAAATTGTGCTATTGTAATATATCTTTAGGGGAGATGTTTATACACTTCTGTCTAAAAGTTTTGCAAGCATAGTTTGTCCTGAGCCAAGACTGTGCTTGGCTTTTCTCATCTAGGAATGATTTAAGAAGGCTCGGGTGTGGCTTGACAAGCTGACAGAGATATGGGAGGCTGGATTCTTGGAATACTTGTTTTACTTGACCCCAATCCAACTTAGCCGACTTTGAGGTTCCTTGTAGCCTTTTTAGGCTTCAAAGTCATATGTACGGTTTGGAGGGTTATCTGTAGTCGTTCAATAGCACCACTTCACCTCTAGATCTTCAATTTTAATTATCAACTGCATGATTTTGTAAATTGCAATACAATGTGTACATGTGGTAATGAGGTTTAGCTTGCTTTGATTCCACAGCCTAGGCTTTTCCGCGCAACACTGATTGTTGAGTTGTATGAATATAGTAATGGCTTCATTGTATCACAGTAGTACTAATAGCCTAGTTCTTCATTGCATCCCTGAGTCTAATAGTTCCTATATTGTGGTTTTACCGCATTTTAACCAGCCAGTCCAACTTATATTTGGAATTCCCATGTCGCAGGTAACCACATAATTTCATTCGCCCGCACAATCATATTGTATATAAAATTAATTTTAAAAAATTTCTAAAATTTCCCAAGGGGTCTCAGTATTAGCAAAATAGGTAAAATATCCGTGTTCGTTGTTTAATAGCCTAAATGCTCATCATTTTGGAAGGGATCCCTAATTTGCTATAAGTTAAGTTTAGCTTCTTTATTTTATTTATTTGTATTTATTTTTATTTTCTGAAGAAGTTTAGCTTTATTCATTTATTTATTTTTAATTTACACATTTCTAATGCCTTCTTGATCTTATATTTTCCTGTTTGTAATATCTGAAGCACTTTGCGTCATTTTTGTTGCATTTGCTTGCTTTCATTGACTGAATTGTGGTGTTAGAGCTTGGAATTAATTTTATTGTTAGAGATGTATATTCTTTTTTTCATGTTTTATTACTAAGTCCATTGTAGTTGTGGTTTTTCTGATCTTGGTCATTTTGTTCATAACACTTGTACTCTTGTTGCTTTAGGTGCATGATTTTGGATTTTTTAGGTATGATCCACAACAGATCCGTTTTTTGAGCTACGAAGAGATACCTCTTGCCCCCGAGGCTGCTTCTGTTGGGCTTGAAATCAGGGTTGTCGGTAATGATAGTGGAGAGAAGGTAACTGCATCTTATTCCTGATTTATTTCTTGATACTTTCAACTTCTGAAAAAGTACAAAGAGTATTGTCTGTGTTTGTCATGTTAGCAAATACTTCATATAATTTTCTGTTGATTGCTACGGAGTATGTTGTAAGGTGGTTTTAACTCCTAATAATCTTCACTTTATATTGTGGACCCTTGTAGACTTAGAAATCTTTATGCCCTGCTTCTTGTGTGATGCTAGAGGTTTCCTTTTACTCACCCAAATTGTACGCAGAAAAATTTGGAAGCCTTTATTAATTAATTTATTTTTTAACTCAAAACACTCTTTGGAACATGATTGCAGCCTCACTCCATGTTATCATGAATGTTCGCAACTTCTCATGTTTAGTTCATTCGGAGTGAATTAGTTCTCATGTTTAGTCTATTCTCCTAACCTTGTGTCTATGCATGTCCCTGTTATATATTTTTTATGATTATCTCTCCATTTTCTTATGCATGTAGTTACTAAGTGCATATACCAATGTGCATGTCACCTCCATCCATCATGCCAATAGGTGCCTTTTCACTCTTCTTTTAAATTTAAAATTTAAGTAGACTCACAAATAGTCTATATACTTCGTATGTCTTAAATAGGCAAATTATCAATTGACACAATCTTATGCCATGAGTCTTAAGACATTCAATGGATTGTCATAGTGAGATGAAGGAGGTTAAGGCATCATCAAAGAGGGAGTAAGATAGTACAACTTGTGTTTGGCTTGGCTTTTCTATTGGTTATTGTACATATCTGATTGATGGGGAAGAACTATTGCTCTTCCAATTTTTCATGATTGATAAAAGTGCTATTTTCACACTCTTGCAGGTGTCTATTTTGGCTGGTACTCTTGCACGTCTTGATAGAGATGCTCCTCACTACAAAAAGTATGTTTATATTAGCTGAAATGATTTCTTGTTCATACTCTTTCAATATGTTGGTTGTCAATTAATCCCCTTTGGAGGGATGGGGTGGAGGGAATATGGTGGTGTGGTTTAGGATTGTGTTTTGTTATGAATAATTTTAGATCGGCTATGAGGACTGATTTTTTTTTCGTCACATTATCTACTTATCTTGCAGATTGATTTATTTCTTGTTTCCTGCTTACATCATGGATTAAATTTGTGTCCTGTGCCATCAAAATTTTCTTATTTGGACTTTTTATATTGAAAATTTGGCAGACTAAAACTTCCCATATATCATCCCACATGGAATAATGTTTTGCGTGTACTCACTTTATCTTTTATATTTGTCCAGACGTCAGGCTACTAAACAACTTACTTGAGATGTGTGGATTTTTTTTTGTTTCTTTTTTTTGGATGAATCAGAAAAGAGGTTGATGATGGATGCTGCTTATTCATGCAGTTTTAGTTCAGTATTATTTTTACAGCCTTGAAGTTATGATAACTATAAGGTCATAGTTTTCTAGGTAATTTGATTAAATTTAGAATTCTGATGGTGCTACTTCTAGTTTCTAAAAAGAAGAGGAAAGAAGTATGTAGAAATAGCCGCAGAGAAGACCTGAAGATTCATTCAGTATTTGTTGATTGGCTGGAAGGAAAAGTGTCTTCTGTCCTATAGAAAACTGAAGCACCTCCCAGTATTAGTTAAATTAACGTGAAGAGAAAAATGGCAATCATCGTCAAATTTGGCCATGTAATTATGTAGATATAACTGTTGTCAATGACAGGAGTTTTTAACAGTCTACATAGCTTTCTCACCTAAGAGGGTGATATTACTTATGAGCCGGGTATGTTACCTTTTGCATCCTTTGAGAAGAGAACATGGAATGAAAAGGTGGTAAAGTTCAAGAAGTTTAAATTTCTAATTTGAAGCTCCAATTCTTCTCATGGTATATTTATTGGGAAAGCAGTGATATGAAAAATATGTGGTGGGCAGTAGGCTTCTTCATATTATGTATTTGTTAGGCATTGAATGGACATTTGGCATTATCCAATACTTGTATGTCTTTGTTTCTGAGTTTTATTCAGTATACTATAAATAATTAAAATGCTCATCCCCCCTCCTCCCCCTTCAAACAAAATAATTTATTTATGGTTGGAATTGGCATGATGACTTTGTTATCTTGCTTGTTTTTTGTTTGCAGGGATGGCTACAATGACTTTAACACATTTTACATGCAAGTAAGTGGGTTTTTCTACTTAGTGGTCACAAGGGCTTGCTTTGTTTTTCCTTTAAGTTTGAAATTACCATTATAGACCGTTATAAATTGATGAAATTTTTTTCCAATTGGCTCATTTTGCTCTAAAGCCTTTACTGTACAAAGTAATCCTAGGTTAACATGTTTAGAGTTTAACAGATGTAATTGAGCCACTATTGCACAAACTGCTTTAAATTATGATTGACTATATTAATCAAATGCCGCTTACTTTTTGTATCGATTTCCCCTTAAGCGTGTAATCGTTAAATACCAATTTAAATTTCTGAAAGGGAAGCTTAATGCATTTTTAATAAGGGTTATACATATTTTCTGCAAATAATATGGGTGTTAAGTGTTGGTAATTTGACCCCTCTTGTACGTGGAATATAATAGGGTTGTTCCAATACACAGCGCCATTCTGTGACGGATTTCGGACACTCTGTTTGATGTAATGCTTTTTCTTGATTTCTGATTTAAAATTACGCCATGGCATCTGTTTAGACTGGTATTTTACCATATTAGCTTAATAATTGAGTTTAAAGACTTGTGTATTGATTTATTTGATTTCTTATATGATTTGCTTAAACTCAAATTTTAGTCATTATAAGTTCTTAGAACCTTTTATTCTACACAAAATGACTAGATTGGATTTTTGAATGTTTATATGAGACTGGTTTAAAAAAAAAAAAAGTATTTTAAGCTATAATCTAAAATATATTTTCTAGAGCTACTTGATTGCTAAGGTACTCTGAATAATTCTGTTTTTTGTGTACAAAATAAGTGTATGCTTTTGCTTTGTCTATTCCCACTGATGTCTGCGAAGCTTGTTGTAATATCCCCTTTTATATATTATGCTCCCTTACCGCGCTCATGACCCATGACAGGTGGGAGCCTCATACTAAGGGTTGCTGGGTAATTTTATATATCATAACACACACTTTCTCTTTTGTTAATAAGTAACTAGAGATATGCCAGAAGTTTCATTCCATTTATTAAGATATTTACACCTTGATGTTTCTGTTTCTTTTTTGTTGCAGGCGGCTTCAGGTACTAAGGGTGGTTCTAGTGGTTCCCCTGTTATAGATTGGCAAGGAAGGGCCGTTGCATTGAATGCTGGGAGCAAGTCATCAAGTGCATCAGCATTTTTCTTGCCCTTGGAACGAGTGAGTTGCTATCACATGACTGTTTTCTTGATATCCTACCTAAATGGATTGTGAAGGGGAACTGAGGAACTTCCCATTAGAAAGAGCATGTCCAGTCTAAAAAAGTTATGTTGGCTGCCATACATCAAATGTTTAGAAGGGAGCTGGAAGCTTATTCAGCTAGTATAAGATTTGAGTGTATCTTGAACTATCGGTTGAGAATTGATTGTATATTCTGGGGTCAAATTGAATGTATATCCTGACAGTGGTTTTGCTGTGCTGACTTGTAATCTGTTAAATTCTCTTCATTTTGTCCCTTGAGTTATTGCTTTCTGCCGTGTAAATACATTGTATTTCACCATCTAGTTTTAAGTGCTGGTATTTCTGTTTTGCAGGTTGTTAGAGCTCTAGGATACCTTCAGAATGGCAGAGACATGTCTGCAGATAAATGGCCTGCTGTTACCATTCCCCGTGGTACGCTTCAGGTTTGTTAATGATTTTCCTACGTAGCGCTGGCTTTATTATGTTTACAAGTTTGTGTGTGAGACTGAGTTTTGCAAGTGTATATGTTTTTAGTGGTCTTCTGTGTGAATTTTAACACTGCCTGAAAGAATCATTTTTGCAGGCTTAGGCTACTATTTTTAATATAATTCTCTTTTTGTGTAATGGAATATAACTTTTCAATTAAAGGGTCAAAGTGGTAAAGCAACACTAAAATGACTAATAGATTTAATTAAAAATATACGCTTATGTTGATGACAAAGTATCATAAATCAATTCTTCCTCCAGCTTCCTCTTGTGAAGTGATGGTCCTTCTGAATTGTGATCCTAGATCAAGCTTATAGCTTACAGTGATGTGGTGAACCAAATCACAAAGTGACCTCCAAAATTTGTCCGAACAATATCAAGGATACACAAAGGAGTATTAGTGCTTTTGAAGCATCGTGATGATCTTAATCGGTCTATCATGTATCTGATAGTGACATAGATTATTACGTTGGACTTTGTTACTGGTTGAACACTTAAACAGTAAAATTGACACCATCCATAAAATGTTGGATTTTCCTTTACAGAGAGACTTTTTTGTGGTCTACCATCGCTTCTGGTATTATCATATATTTGTTATTCCACTAGATGGCTGTTGTACATGTTTAGAAAACTGTGGTGGTGGACTCGTCAAAGGTTTATGTACTTGCTTTATTTTTAGATAATTAAAGAACTTTATGAGATTTTGATCTGAAGAACTCAATTTAGTAATTTAAATTTATTGAATCTGAGACAAACAAGCTTTAATTATACTTTATTCCTTGTTTAGCCTGGTATTAAAATCCATTATCTCTTGTATTCCAATTCTTTTATTTTGACGAGACTTTATTATGGATTTGTAGATGACATTTGTTCACAAAGGTTTTGACGAAACATTTCGACTTGGTCTTCAAAGGGATACAGAACTGGTATTTAATGGGTCTGAATGTCAATTTTTTTTGTCAGAGGCATGTGTGCTTCCTTTGTGACTTTTTCAAGCTATATATATACTAACTTCATGCAATGCATTAAGTAGATGGTGCGGAATGCATCTCCCTCTGGGGAAACTGGAATGCTAGTTGTTGATTCAGTGGTGAGTATGATATTTTATAGTAGAAAAGAATTCATTAAAATTGATAGTTATGTTAATTACACCCTATTTCTTATTACAGGTTCCAGGTGGACCAGCTTATAAGCATTTGGAAACTGGTGATGTTCTTGTTCGTATTAATGGTGAAGTAAGTCATTAGAATCCAGCAATTCAGCATTTGGTTCATTCAAGGATTGGTTCTAGATAGTTTGAGCTAAAGACTTATGCATTGTCATTCATAATTCAATAATACTTCGTCGGTTTCTTTTTAGTTTACACGTTTGACTTTGTGTACTATTTACATAACTTACTTTGACTTCCTTTTGTGATTTAGTCATGTGGGATCTTGTTAGATTTGTCATCTTCTTCTTCTTCTTTTTTTTTTTTTTTTTTTTTTTTTTTTTCCTAATATCATAATTTCTGTAATTTTTGCCAATATGTAAATAAAGATATCTACATTTAAAAGTATGTGTTGGCAAACGTGCCTAAATGAAATGTGTCTACTAATATGAAATGGAGGAAGTATATCATTTCTGGAATCCTCTTGCTCATAGCTTTCTTTATCTCTTAGTGTGAGATCTGGATAGGTAGTTTTGTATGTTCTTATATGGGGGTAACGTCTCCAGTAATGCTGTCTTTAAATGATTTGGAATACTGCATTCTACTAGTGTTTATCCTTGGTTAAATGATGCATAAGTCTATTTCTCTTCTGCCATGACTTGACCAATAATTGTCTTACATAGTGTTTTCTAGGTCCAACCTTTTCTCTGTACAGTGTGGAAGCATGCCTGATTGCACGTAAATTAGAAAAGTAGGAGGCTGCTTTTTCAAGCCGCCCCTTTCTGGTGATCTTGAGTTGATAGATGTTAATTTGGTAATCAGCTCTTCCAAGCATGGCATAGCTTGGCTTGATCTAGATAACTGACCCACAAGTCAATGTCTCTAATGCAGGTTATGACTCAGTTCCTCAGACTGGAGACTTTGTTAGATGATAGTGTAAGCCAGAATATCAAATTGGAGATAGAAAGAGGCGGGACTCCAATGACAGTAGACTTGATGGTGAGCTCACAGTTCTCAGCTCTTTCAGATGGACCATATTTTATTTTTTAACAAAAGCCTGCTTTTGTTTTGCAGAATTGCATACAGTATATTAATTTGTTGTAAAGAAAGAAAATATCAGTGACTTTTAATAGTGTATAAGTGGGTCACAATGTTATTTGTTCTCACTTTGTGAATATGTTAAGGTTTTTATTCCACAGTTGCTAATTAGTTAGTCTGAATGAGTTGAGTGGTTTCATACTTTGGTTCTATGTCACATAATATATTCTCATTGTTATGCATGCTGCTTTGTTATATTGGTTTTTTATTTTTCATTGACCTGTTCCAGAATGGACACGTTTAATACAACTACTATCTATATATATCATGGTTTCTCTTATCAATGATGGTCCAGGTTCAAGATTTGCACTCTATTACCCCAGACAACTTTCTTGAAGTCAGTGGTGGTGTGATTCATTCTCTGTCCTACCAGCAGGTTTGTCCTTGTCCTCCCCTCCTTGGATGAGCCTTTGGTCATAATTTTTTAAAGTTGTTTTCTTTTTGTTATGGTGTCTGATTTCTCATCTATGTAGTCAAGTGCTTCTGGAAGTGAAGCGTAAGTTTTGTTATTTTGGTTGGCTAGGTGCCTATTATGTAGCCAAGTACAAGTTATCCGAACATTAGAGTCAACTTTTTAGCAGTCTGAGAATTTCCTTCAAGTGTTAACCATTTAATTTTATTGTTTGCAAATGAATTTATAAATAAGACAATAAGACTTTATTCTGGCTGTTGAGCTTGTATACTTGAATTGCTCGTACTATTCTTATAATGTATTCTTCATGACCACCTAATTGTGATACTTATTTCCCTTCTCTGTCTCTTTCCCTCCTTGGATGTTAGATGATCTTGTAATTGCTTGGATGTCATTGTGTTCTGGCTTATTTTACTGAATATGCAGTGCATGTTTAAGTTCTTTCTGTCTGTTTGGGTCAAGCTTTTCTGTTAACTCATGTTTCCTGTTAAATCTCTATTATGTTATGCCGTTTCTTAACCATCCGTGCAGTTATATCGAGATGATAAGTTATTACTGTCAAATGATTTAGCACAGTGAAAATTATATTTTCTGACCTTCCGTGAGAGAATACTCTTTTCAATACTGTTTTGGTAGTCTACAAATCTTATTTGGGAAGTGCTAAAAATTTGAAGTCATCTACCACCATTTCATTATTTCTTTCATCCATTTGGTGCCTTTATAAAATACCTTTGGGTGTCAGCAACCATAGAACTATGAAAATACTGTTCATGTGCAAGGAATCAATAATTAGGGGAGGGGTCGTAGTACTAGTAACTTGGGGAATAAGTTACAGGTTTGTTAAGAAAGATTTTCTATAAATAGGTATTAGGAGGGAAGAGGATATGTTGAATATTGAGTGGTTTGTTATTGGGAGAGAGTGAGCCTCTCGAAAGCTCATACTTAGTAGAGAATCCACCTCTCGAAAGTGGAATTATCAATCAATTTGCTGTTTTCTTCATCTTAATACTATAATCATCAATTTTCTTCTTATTTGCTGCATTGTTAGAGCTAAAAATTATGGTAGTTCCTAGCATCATGTCCTTGTCTCCCTATGACTTGATTGTTGGACATCTCTGTTTCTTCTAATTTAGATTTAAATTCTAAAGGTTGATTTTTTAATCTGTTAAATTCTTTTGCAGGCTCGAAATTTCCGGTTCACCTGTGGTCTTGTTTATGTTGCAGAGCCTGGGTGAGCCTCCTTCATTAAATAATTAGAATAAAGGATTGGTCAGTGTTGTCTCGGTAGGCATATGTTTATAGTGGTGTCAGCAAATTGCATGGTCATCCTTCATCTTTGGCAACACATATTGACATAATGACTTCCTTACGAGTATGATTAAGCCTTTTCTCCTTGTTTGTCCATACCAGATACATGTTGTTTAGAGCTGGCGTACCTCGCCATGCCATCATAAAAAAGTTTGCTGGGCAGGAGATATCTTGTCTTGAGGAACTGATATCAGTCCTTTCTAAGTTATCTAGGGGTATGCGTGTTCCACTGGAATATATAACATATGTCGATCGGCATCGAAGGAAGGTAAGGGCTTTTTGTAGCTATTATGTTTTTCAGTCTCCTAAATGCTACCAGTTAATTTGATAATGGTCTTGCATTCCTGATGTTTATTATATATGTTTGTTTACATTAGCTGCACTACATACTCTTCTATCACGTTTGAAGTGTCCATGTACTGATTATAGAATGTGGGTACTGGATAGTTTTTGCCAAGGGCTGTTTGCTTGTGAGGCTAAATAGACAACGCATCTTAGTATTTTAGTGTAGGACATCTTCAAATATCTTCCTACATGTGGGGTATTGTCCAATACCTATCCTTTTTATAGCTTGCTGAGGTTGGACCGTTGGACACAGTCGTCGTAGAGCCAATCCATCCAATACAGGACTGATTAGAGACCTTTTATGAACCTCTTTCTCATAAGCAATCATTACAGCCATTGGAACCCTAACCACAATTTGATTACATAGAACTTCATGCTGTTTTAGCTCTGCTGCTGACATTAAATATCCACATGTTTTAAATGACAGTAAATAACGGAAGACTGATTGTTAATATCAGAAATCAAATGTGTTGATCTTTTTTGTGGATTTTTAGTTTTGAATTTGTTTAACTCTTGTAAGATTATTTGGAATACGGGTGTTAAATAGTTGTATTGAGATCAAGTTTGGTGTTTCTTTGTTCATGATACTTGCATTTGAGCTCAGGTTGAGTCTGAATCTTTTTCAAACTTAAATTTTAAAATTCGACTTGAGTTTGAAAATTCTCTTTTACGTTATAGCACTTTCATAACTAAAGTTTCTGCTTTTTCTATTGTGTTTTGCAGCAGTGTAGTGCAAATCCTTCATATCAGTTTTAAGTTGGATTTTTGAACATGTAAAAAAAATGTTATAAAAAAAATCTGGAATATGCTCATAAGCTTCTCTTGTTGAGTTTAGTAGTGCAGCTTGAATAGTTAACGGATATATATCAAGTGCAGCTCGAATAGTTAATGAATCAATTGGGCTCATCTATATCCACATAAAAAAGGCTTATACATATACAAACCACACATAGTTGAAGCTTGTCCCAGTTAGCAAAGATATCTCTTTGCTGAATATTTTAATTTCGAGAGAGTTTTTGCTCATAAAAAAAAATAAAAAAAATAAAAAAATTGTTGGATTTATGATCATCACACCTGAAAAGGCTGCTTAATTTTTTTTGTTGTTTTTCCCCCTTTTGTGAAATATGGTTTAGTATTCTAATTGACAAATACCTATTTTATTGCTTGTTAGCATTTTTTAATTTTGAGTGTAAAATTTATCATTTTCTGCTTGTGAAGAGGCTTCTGTCTATCAATCATACTTTTATTTATGAATTGACATGTGGGTTTAAATTGTAGTGCTTCCCTTTTCCTACTGGTTTTCGCTGGTTAGGGCCTTAGGGGTCTCACTATCCTTATTTGATCCTCCACAACTTCAAGCAACAGCCAACAGAATCCATACTTTTATTTTGTTTTAAATTTTTTTTGGTGATTTTTTTGTACACAACTACACATTGAATCTCATTACATTATTTAGCAGCTAGTTGATGGATGCAAATCCAAGAATACCATAGGAGAGCATGCGATTTATGTTGCTTCATACCTCATACAGAAATATTGGTTATTATATAGAATGACCGAGTGAGGTGGATTTATGTTTGTGACGCAAGTGTTGGTTATGGTCAAAATCCTAGAATCAATTATTGTAGATTTGTCAGTGTATAAAAGGAAAGGGGCGCTGAGGTTCAAGGCGACATGGACTATATACCTTTTAGTCTTGCAAGGCGCTTTTGGTGAGAGAGTTTTTTTTTATTTATTAAAAAAATTATGACGTGCACCTCAATTCAGTAAAGGCGCACCTAAGGCACAGGGATTCCCTATCGCCTTGATGCACCTTGAGCCTTTTTATACAACGCACTCTAAGCTTGTTGCCTGCCCGTTGCTTCCTGTCTGCTGGGATCCTTTCTCTTATTTGATAGAGATGACCATGAGACCTTGTTTTGCTGTTGTACTGCTAGTCTTGTAATAATATGTCTTAATATTTTGGATTTGCTTTATTATTTCATATATGTCTTTCATTGTTGATCCCCCCCCCCCCTTGTTCTCTCCTGTATGCAGTTACCTCCGTCATTGAGATATGATTCTGTCAGCATTTTATAATTTTTGCTGTCATGAAAATGGCTGATTAGTAATTTAATTTACTTTATCTTTTATGCAGTCTGTCTTGGTTACTGTTGACCGGCATGAATGGTATGCCTTTCCTCGAAGATATATACGTGATGATAGTACTGGTTTATGGATAGTGAAGCCTGCCCTACCGTCAGAGTCTCCACTGCTATCATCTGGTATCAATCAAGTCAATGGTGGCGCTAGCAATGAAGCAGTGACATCAGATATCAGAGGGGTTTGTGTAATGGACTATACACATCAAGATAATCACCAAAAGCTGGCTGACGGTACTGCTATCATGGAGACTAATAGCGATCATACCTCTGAAGATGCTAACTCTCGGGATGAATCTGATGCTGGAAGCAAGAAGCGAAAGGTGGAAGAATGCTCATCTGCTGATGGTATTGCTAATACTGATAATTTGTTGTGTGAACCTAGAGAAGAAAACTTGGGGGACTCGGGAATTTCTGAAAATTCTATCCTAAGGGATCACCAAGGTGCAACAGCGGCTGTATCCAATGCTTCGGTTGCTGAACGTGTTATAGAGCCAACCCTTGTTATGTTTGAGGTAATTTTTTGTGACAGGTGTTCCATTGTATCATATAGCTGAGGATGTTCTACTGTTTGTCATCAGCTATAGTAGATTCATTTCTCTCATGCCCAACCATTTTTTCTTTTTCTTCTTTTTGTTTGCTTAAGTTGATGGACGGGGATCTGATAATGGTATACTCTGGGAAGGTGGGGATTGGATGTTGGATATTGCTCTTTTTGTCCACCTGCTTTGGCCTAGAAATATTCTGGTTGGTTTGTAGCTATGTGCAGATCTGTTTGCTTAGTTTTGTCTTTTCTGAAAAATTGTCACACCTTTATTTTTCTTTAGTTTTGGCTTAGAGACCCCTTAATATTCTTGGATTAGATTCTTTTCTAATCTGCACCATGAAGTTATTTCTTTAGATGTTTTAATACCTTGATTGCATGTTATTTTGAGCTAGGTGCAAGATATCGTTTTCATCCATTTTGTGACTTTCAGGTTCATGTGCCACCATCATGTATGCTTGATGGTGTACATTCCCAACATTTCTTTGGGACTGGCGTTATTATCCATCATTCACAGAACATGGGATTGGTTGTGGTTGACAAGAACACGATTGCAATATCTGCATCTGATATCATGCTATCATTTGCCGCATTTCCTATTGAAATTCCGGGGGAGGTAACTAAATTTACTCTTACCACCCATATTTTAAAGGTACTGCAACTTCTCTTGCTTAGATTTATGTCATTTTGTAGGTAGTTTTTCTACACCCTGTACACAATTATGCTCTTGTTGCATATGATCCTTCTGCTCTTGGTGCTGCTGGTGCAGCAGTAGTTCGTGCTGCTGAGCTACTTCCAGGTTAGTTCGCAGCATGGTTGTATGAGCTTTGTTTTACTCCTATTTGGATTGTATTAGCTTTTAACCTTGATGAAAAAGTAGTTGAATTCTTATTGGTCTGATTGACTGGGTGCCAAATTAAGCATGTCGTGAATTCCTGGAAATTAGCTTGTTTGCACATGAGGTCATTTCTGGCGGTTGCATAAAGTTGCATTTACATCCAGGTTGCTGTTATAAGTACAATTTCCATTTTGGCCATATTTTCAAGAGTTTGATGATGCATTCTAGGCTGCTAGCTATTGAATGCTAAATGTTGCATTAGTGCATGCATAGGGTTCTAAAATTAAAAACATTTTGTCTTATGACTGATATCAGAGTATTAGATGATGTATTCTGATAAGCACTGCTCCAGTGCATAAAATATCTTTTTAATTTTATTTTATTTTGGTCAGAACCTGCATTACGACGAGGTGATTCTGTATACCTTGTTGGGTTGAGCAGAAGTCTTCAGGCTACCTCACGTAAATCCATTGTCACCAATCCATGTGCTGCATTAAATATCGGATCAGCAGACTGTCCACGTTATCGAGCCATGAATATGGAGGTTGTTGAGCTTGACACAGGTATGTTGGTTGCATAGATTCATTTTATATGATCTTACTCTGATTCTAATGCCTCCTTCCTGGCTTCCTCATTCCCATATACTACTTCCTCAGTTCCTTTTTTTGCCTTTTTAAACCCTTAAAAAATGTGCCATATAGAAGTGAAGTGATAGTTATAAAAGGAGGGAAGTATAAGGATAGTTAAAAGGTTAATTTTATTTTGCCATGTTTGACAATCTGAAATTTGCAATTGATTTTTATTGTTTATTCAGATTTTGGCAGTACATTCTCTGGTGTCTTGACTGATGAACAGGGTAGGGTTCAAGCAATATGGGGGAGCTTTTCAACTCAGGTATTGCTATCTCTTCAGCTACTTGAATCTACATAGCATGGCTGGTGCTGACATATTGTATTTTCTTTTGTAGTTGAAATATGGAGGCAGCTCATCAGAAGATCATCAATTTGTCAGAGGTATACCAATTTATACCATCAGTCAAGTCCTTGACAAAATTTTGTCTGGTGCAAATGGTCCACCTCTTCTTATTAATGGCATTAAAAGGCCCATGGCACTTGTCAGAATACTGGAGGTGGAACTCTACCCTACCTTACTATCAAAGGCAAGAAGTTTTGGCCTGAGCGATAATTGGATCCAAGTATGTATCTCTCTGATATTATTTTCTCTTTCAATTTATTTATTAACTTTATAAGTCATCCCATATGGCCACAATCATGTGATACACTAGATCAAGGGTTTTGGTTGAACAAATTTTTTTAGTAACTTTAAAGTCTATGGATGGATTTGGTTGATCTTATTGTTATTATCTAGAATATTGATGTTTTTAAAAACATTTTTTACGGTTTTGGATGTAGGATTTTTGCATTACTTGCAGGAAGACCATTATATTTGTGAAGTATATTGTGTTTTTCTTTGTTCGGAACAAGCAAACAATTTCTTTGTAATGTTGTGTATATCCTTTCTCCATAAGCCTGCCTAGGGTAATACCCTATTTTGAGATATTGGGGTTTTGCTGATTTAAATGTTGACATGTTTGCTAATCATCTTATGAACCATAAGAGGAAGCATGGTGCTAATAGTAAAGATTAATTTTGCGAGCCTTTGGAATCTGTACTATACATAACTTTTCTTTTAATTTTTGGTTCCTATTCGGTTCTAAGGCTTTGATTGATTGACTCCTATTCGGTTGGGGAGCATCTGGTGATCGCTATTGTATATGGCACAACTGAATGTGAGTGCCGAGTGAAGTGTTTTCTGTACGAGCGCTTGCGCGTGCGCGTGTGTTTGTGTGTGTGTGTCTTGTTTTGGCTTTTGAAGGACTATTCTAAAATGCATAGAATATCATCTGTTAGTTCATCTTGGAAATTTTTATAAATGAATGATCCCTCCTGCAGTGGGAACAATTCTAGGTGGTGGCAGTTGTCTCACAATAATTCACCTGATTGATAAAGTTGCCTTCATGTTCTTTATTGATTACCTGTTTTCTCCATTTTTCTTCTGGCAAAACTTTTTATAATTTATATGGAATTGTAACATGATTTTCCTCTCTTTTTTCCTTCAGGCTCTTGTTAAGAAAGACCCTTTGAGGCGCCAAGTGTTGCGTGTCAAAGGTTGTTTGGCTGGATCAAGAGCTGAGAATATTTTGGAACAAGGTGACATGGTTTTGGCAATCAATAAAGAGCCTGTGACTTGCTTTCGTGACATAGAAAATGCTTGCCAAGATTTAGACAAGTATGATAAGAGTAATGAGACGCTCCAGCTGACCATCTTTCGCCAGGTTTGAATCGAAACTTTTTTGTAATTACCCCTAATTCCTTGGTTGTGTATATCTCTTGTATGGCAGTAAAATAGATTACTGTAATCTTATTTGATTTTTATAACCTGGAGGGTCCTGCAGGGGCGTGAATTGGAAGTAGTAGTAGGAACTGATATTAGAGATGGTATCGGTACAGTTCGTGTTGTAAACTGGTGTGGGTGCATAGTTCAGGATCCTCATCCAGCAGTACGGGCCCTTGGGTTTCTTCCTGAAGAAGGCCATGGTGTTTTTGTAGCAAGGTACTTTACTAATTAGTGATTAATATTGCTGCATGTTGCTTGTGACATAGTTTTGGGGTTATGAATTCAGCCTTTCTTTTTAATATAGAAATTTAGCTTTATTGAAGAAGGGAGGGATCTTGTTTGGCCTATATATTCTTATTAATCTACTATAATTAAACCATGATGACCTGGTAATGCTTAGGGTGATAAGTGAGCGTCCATTTTTTTCTTTCTTGTGACTGATTTTTGTAGAAGTTTTTTTAATCTTAAGAAATTAAGTTTATCTTGTTATTTTTCAGGTGGTGTCATGGAAGTCCAGCGCATAGATATGGTTTGTATGCTCTTCAATGGATAGTGGAAGTGAATGGAAAACCTACCCCTGATCTGGATGCTTTTGTTAGTGTGACGAAGGTATACTGACTTTTTATTTTTTATCTTATTGTTAATCTGTCTTTACAGTTGACCCAAATGCTTTAGTTAATAACATTATGAACATTCATCATCTTCCTCCAAGTATTCATGTGAAAAGAACGAGGTAGTGAAGATGTCAGAAATTAAACAATGTTGATGAATTTGCTGAGTTCTTGGAGGATTTTATTTGAAGGCTAACTAGTTTGATGCATTTAAGGAATTTAAGACATTATATATTCTTTGGGTTGAGCTGAAACAAAACTGGCTTGGGTTGTCAGTCCACTTGGTGATGTGCCTCCTTTGACTTTGGGACTGGAGTGCCATGCCAATGTTGCTTTTTCTATTTTTCATCTCTCTCCGACTTTGAGAGAGTAATTTAGTATGTTACTTCATAATGTATACCCTTCTCTAATAATTAAAAACTTTGAAACTTATAAGATCTATTCGTTCTGCCTTTATCCCTTGGCTCATCGTTGCCTTCTTTAGGTCTCAGAGAGGGGTTGGGGTGTGGCGAACCTATTTACATTGCTTAATTATCCTAGTCACCTAGTCTCATTCCCTTTGAATTATCTACCATCCTGATTGCCTGCAAATATGGGGCTTCTTCTTGCCTGATCAAAGCTTCCCATAATCCATGAACTTAATCCGTAAGTGCTGAAAATGGTATCTTTTCAAAATAAAGCCAAATAAAATAATAGATTACTGGGTTAGAGCTTCTAAAGGGCACATAAACATGACCCTATATAGTTCAAAGGAGTATGAAGCTGAATGTCCTTAAGTCACATAATGTATTGATTTACTACTGTTGCAACATAATATTTAACCTTGATGTAACCTATCCCTAGAAAATATTACAAGGATCAATCATTTGTTATTAAGTTCCCTATAGTTTTTCTAGGAATCAATCCCCCCCCCCCTTCCCCTTCCCCTTCCCCTTCCTGTACAAAGTACTACAAATGTGAAATTTTCTTTGTTCAACAAGCAGGAACTAGTGCATGGAGATTATGCGCGTGTGAAGACAGTCCATTTGAATGGGAAGCCCCGGGTGTTAACATTGAAGCAAGATTTGCATTACTGGCCAACTTGGGAGCTAAGGTTTGATTCAAACACCGCACTGTGGTATAGAAATACAATCAAGGCATTGGATACCGCTGTGGCATGAGTGGTTCCATCTTCTGGCAAGTTCCTTCGGTAAGTGACTTCCAAAATTTGTGAAAATTACCTGGCCCTTTGATGGTACATACCTCATTGAACATTGTTTTCGGAGCTGCTTCAATATGGTCGCTCTGCAGTGAAGAGTTCTGAGATTGGTCATGCAGTTTGGATTCTATTATGGATGAGGGGCTGTTTTTAATTTTTATTTTTTAAAGAGGGATAAGGGGAGCTTTTTAAGATTATTCATGATCTTGCATGTTTTGAAAGCTGGTTGATTCATGTAGAAGGGATAGGAATTTCCTAGATGTCATACTTTTTTATGTGAGGGGGCCTATGTCAATATCATGGTTTTTCGTCGAAGGGGATGTAGCTAAGTATATGTAGGGATCGCTACTGGTATGTACTTGTGCTGAAAGAACTCTATTGAAATTTGAAACTCACCCTGAAAGACTTCTTTGGTTATGTTAGTGTCGTCTTCTCTCTTTTGCTTCATACTTGTATTATACTCTGTACTGTACAGTATGTTTCTTAATCAATTTTGCTGTAATTTCCTCTTTTGCTTTTATTTCGATTTGATAGTAGTTTGTCATATACTCCGTATTGCTTATGGCCCTTCTCTGAAAAAGGGATTCAGAACTACATTTTACAGTATACATTGATCTGCAGCTCTTCCGAATGAGATGGGGTTAATGCAGTCTGTCATAAGACTTAATTGGAAAGTTCACATTAAGGTATAATTAATAGAAACACTTTCATTAATTATAATCCTATTTCCACCAACCTTTGTTGTTAGAAGGTTCTCAATCTTCTCAAGAGTGTGGAGTATGAGTTAATATATTTAATTGTACTAATTAGTAGAAAAGCGTTATAAAGTCGAAATGATACAGAGTATCTGTACTACTCTGTAAATGACTGATTTTTTTTTTTTTTTTTTTTTTTTTTCGGGGGTGATGAAGTTGGTTGCATGAAAAATCAAAAACGCTTTACAATTTGGTTAATTAGGAAGGGATCTTGTATAATTATGTAGGGTATGAGTCCTATAATGTCAATTTAGAGTCGCAAAGGATGATAGATTGTTATATACACTCGGGTGTACCATATCAATGCATGGTTCGTGCAGGCGGATGCACGATTCACACGGTGCATCTCTTCCAAAAAAAAAAGCGGAAAGAACATTGCACAGAAATATAAAGAACATTTAGTTTAAGTGAAAAGAACATATTATAGAATTGTAAAGAACATTGTATAGAACTGTAAAGAACATTCCGTTAAAGTGCAAAGAACATGTTATAAAATTGTAAAGAACTTAACGTGCAGTTAAATAATGTTCTTTATCTTCATGTTCTTTGATTGTCAAAATAATGTACTTTTATTTGTGACATATGTTAATTGTTTAATTTGAAATGTTCTTTGAATTTTGTCTTTAGATTATGGTGGTTGAATAAAAATAATGTTCATTACATTATATTATCATTAAAGGTGATAAAAATTTCTGGTCGGGCTGGGTTATAACATAATATCTCGTGTCCAAAAAACCCAAAAAATGTATTGGGCTTTTCGGCTTTTTTCGGGCCAAGTTTGGATTTTTTTTAACTAAAAATGCATTTTTAGGCTTGTCTAAACTCGCCCTATTTTCGGGTTGGATCGGGTCGGGTCGGGTCTGGTCGGGCCGAAGTTGATCACCTCTAATTATCATGTTTTTAATTAATATTACGGATGTTCTTTAGATATATATATAAAGAACGTGAAGTTGGATGTTTTTTTTACAAAATAGGTATATGTTCTTTATAAAACAACTATATGTTCTTTACAATACATCTCTAATTTGGATTTTCGGCTTTTTTTTCGGGCCGAGTTTGGATTTTTTAACTAAAAATGCATTTTTAGGCTCGTCTAAACCCGCCCTGTTTTCGGGTTGGATCGGGCTGGGCCGGGTAGGATCGGGCCGAAGTTGATCACCTCTATTTATCATGTTTTTAATTAATATTACGGATGTTCTTTAGATATATATAAAGAACATGAAGTTGGATGTTTTTTTTTACGAAATAAGTATATGTTCTTTATAAAACAACTATATGTTCATTACAATACAATTATATGTGATGTTCTTTATGAAAAAGCTATATGTTCTTTACAAAACAAATGTATGTTCTTTACTGAACAACGGAATGTTCATTCCGCGTTTTAAAAGAGAAAACGGATGCACGGAGCATCGTGCATCCGCCTCCATAAAAAAAATTTCACTACTATACACATGGAAATTTTGTACTCATTTTGATAATTGTTTTTCATTTAATCATCAAATGAAGAGCAAAAACGAACCTTGGGTTAGTTAGGTGTACGGTACACACGGCTGTATATAACAAATTCTAGCAAAGGATAGAGATGTAGGGAGCTATGAAGCATACAATTAACAAAAGTTCAGTGTGGTAGAGAAAAATGATTTGTCAAAAGGGAGTTTTACAAAAGCAAAAAAAAAAAAAAAAAAAAATTTTCTTTGGTTGGTTAATTCTGAGCTTTTTTTTTCTACCTTACATTGTTGGGAATATGCTGATCCAACGGAGTATATTTGATGCAACAACTTTATCTATAATATATAGGAAATAGTAACATTATTCAAATATGTAGACAAATTTGATGTAAAGGATCTCCTTATTGACAACTTAAAAAATATGAAAAAAAAAAAATGTTGCTTTAAAATGACACTTCAGCTAACAAAGCTACTTTTTGCTACAAATATATTCTGGACCCCATGATTAAATAAAAATATTGACACTCTAATAGTCTAATTACATGAATACAACAATTAATCACTCTGTTTATATTTGGAGTTTTGGACCTTGAAAACTTGTGTTTGTGTAGCAGTGTTGTTAAGACTTGACTTATTTTCATTTAAATAGTTTTTAGAACTAAATATTAATTGTTGTTTACGGATCAGAGTATTTTGCATGTTTTGAGTGAGAAGTAATGTAAAAATATATAGGTTTGTCAAAATGAAAGAAAATGATTTTGAAACGAATAAAAATGGAAAGTATTAAGAACTTTTAAAAAAACAGATATTGCATATTTACTGTATAAGGTTAGAAAGTTTGTTTTATTGCTTTTCGAGGGTGTTAAGAGGTATCAATGAACTCTCATTACATGATCAAAACAAACTTGAATTCATAAATACATCAACAAAACTTCGGCTGATTATGTGATCATTTCACCACATGTTACTCCATTAGTTGCATCTGCTGATTAGGTATAATAAAGTCATAACATTATAAATTGATTTAATTCAAGTACATTTAAAAGAAAGAAAAAAGCTAGAAAAGAATAAAACTAATCACATCAATTACATTTAACTTAAGCCTTTTTTACACTTAAGCTTTACTCAAAGTGTGATCCTTTTATGATCATCTCCAACCAAGAATTGCAACTGATGAAAGCAACAGCAAAACTGATGACCATAAACTACCTAGTAACTGAAAATGGTTTTTCATATTCATGGTTGCTGAAGACATGTCTTGAGGTGGTGGTGGTGGATTCTTGAAGTAGAAAGGAAAATAAGGCACAATTGGGTTAGGAGGTGGAGGAGCATAGCCATATGATCCACCAGGAGGAGGGTAATAGTCATAACTTGGCGATTCCGGTGGAGTGTATCCTCCTGATGGTGGTGGTGGAGGGGAGTAGTAGTATTGTCCCGGTGGTGGTGGCGACGAGTAGTCGTAGGAAGGGGTCACCGGTGGCGAAGGTGGTGGTGGGCAGTTTGATGAGGGGGTGGTTGTGGGTGGTTTAGGTGGCGGTGGGAGGTCCGGTGTCGGTGTGGACTCCCCGCCGCCTGCCGTGGGTGGTGGTAGACAAGGGTAAGGGCATACATAATCTTGTAATGACTTTTGTGGATATATTGTTATTAATATTAAGATGATCAAAATGTAAGGAAATGTGTTGGAAGAAAATTTTGTTGATATATTGGTCATATAACTCATGTTGTATGAAGAAATATGACCAAAGAAAACGAGGATTAAGATTGAATGGTAAGGAAAAGATGAAATATAAGAAGATGAAAAGAGTGGGTGGAATTTGAAAGCCGCCTATAAGGGAAGGTAGTGGACCAACTTATGTAGGGTACCCCGGAAAAGGTAGGACATTATATTATGGGTGGGAGAGGTGAATTATTATTTGGAAACTTTGAAAGCAACATTGATATGTATATAATGTATTATAACAATTTTTAATTGTCAAAACTTTAATGTAAATTAGGGTAGCTTTACTTTGTTTTTTATCTTCCCTTTTTTACTTTTGTATGTTCTTTTTAAAAGTGAAGATGGAAAAAAAAATTCTTATAGTGATGACTTTGAGGTAACAACTCTAGTGTATATTATTGATGATTTGATTACAATTTGGACTAATTAGGTTTAAACTACGTATAATTGGTGTACGTTGGAACAAAAATCCTTTTTGTCATAATAATAGATTTGAAAAGAAGATAAAAAATTTAATGCAAGTTTTATTGTGTTTAGTATGAAGTACCAAGATATAATAAGGAAATCTATAAATAATTTTTTTTGAACGGAAAATCTATAAATAATTTGCTATAGATTACATACGAACATAACAATAAAGTTGAAAATTAAAATATAACTGTGAGTCATTAATTTTTTTTTTTTTGGTGCAAAAGTCGTTTAGGATTTATAAATATTCTAATGATGAGATTATTGTAAGTGTAACCATTGTGCATGCTCATTAAAATGTTCCTTTTGGAATAAGTTTTAGTCGGACAATTTTAACTACCTACCTTTTAAGTTTTTATAGCCATAGTTTTCTCATCTTTAATTTTTATAGTAATAGTAGCATTTTAATCAATCTTGTCCGCCCCATTTAAGGAATTAACTAAAGAGAATTGTCTGGTGTAGAACATTGACTAGAATGATAATAAAATGAATTTAATCAACAAGTTGTTAAGTATATATTTTCTAGGTAAATGCATGTTCTAGGGCTTGTATTATCGATACCTAAGCAATTAAAGACAAGAGTAAGTTATAAAAAAATGTGAGTAACAACAAGAAAGTAGAGAGAAAGACAGAAGAGATATGAAAGGGACTGTCTTGGAGGTATCTTATTATGGTCTCTTGGAAAGAAATAAAGCAACACTTATCATTATTGTCAAGACTATTATTGAGTCATTATTATTGGAAAATTGAGTTTATTAAAATGCATAATAAAGCATAGGCACTTATTATATTCCAATTTTATTCCACTTTTACACTTGTGTGAGAAAAAGTAGATGGTGACTAGTAATCTAGTACTAACCTTAATAATTAATTTGTTACTCGTATTTTTCTACTATATTAATTAGAGATGTTAATAAAAACAAGTGTTATGTGTAATTGAATTTCATTTCTTGTAATAATATTCCAACCAGTTTAGCTAATAAAAAAATCCGTACTTTTTTTTTTGAATAGAAAAGAACCGTACTACTTTGTATTACATTAGTAGTGATTTTTGTTATGCTGTGAATTTAACATATGATGTTTTTGAAGTATCACATTATACATATCAATCTCAATGTCTTCTACCACTAAAAATAAAATATGTTACTATCAAATATTTCATTTGGAGCTCATCTTGCTTCTATGATCTTATCTTTATTATTGATCCATATGGCTCAATTAAAAATATATGGCTCAATTAACAAAGGCACATGTCAAATAAGCAATAAATAAAGAGTTAGTTACACAACAAAATACAGCATGGAAAAGAAAAGGAAGACTAGGAAAGGAAGACTAGGCAAAAACAAGATTGATGTGCATCAAGTCACTATTAAAGTACGCAATTCACAGCTTAAGAAGCACGGATATGTATTTAAAAAATTAAAATATTAGCTTTATAAATTGAGCGGTGCATATTATTGTTTTTCTATGTTTAACGTATTTAAATTTATTTCAATACTCATAAATTAAGATAAACTATATACATAGTACAAGCAGTATTTTGCTTGTAAGTTTTTCACCGACAAAATAAATTAAGATAAAATTGAACAAATAAGAAAAATATTGAAATTGGCAAAATCCAAGTGTTAAAGGTATGTCCATTGATTGTACCATGTAATGAATGGAATTATCGTAAAAGGCTAAAACCAAGTGTGGGCGCAAACTTAAGAAATGAAACAAGACAGAAACTGAGAAAAGTGGGCCTATTGCAGAAGAATAATGAACCTTCTAAACGAGGTAGATCTTCCTAGGGCTTTGGCCCTTCTTTCTTCCTTCGCCCCAACTATTTCACAAATTTTATCCGCTCTCCAACTTGGACTATTTTGAGCCAAACATTCACTACATTCTAAATTATCAGACTCAGCTTTCACCCAAAGTTTCTAACGTTTTAAACACGACATTTCACATGTGAAATTTTGAATATAAAATTGACATCAACTAAACTAACCTCATCTAATTCGAAGTGACACAATTCGACACAAATTAGAATATGATATACATAAACACAATAGTATAGCATAACTCTAGTACTCTACTCAATTAGACTTGACCCCAAACCAATCGATAACCCCATTACCATCTTGAATCGTTTTCTTGTAGTTTTTATATGCAAATGAGACTAGATACTTACTTTATCAATGATTGTTACTAAACTTTTTTCAATCATGTTAACATCCTTGATGAATGGAAGTAGTATATTATTAGAATTAAATTAAATAGTGAAAGTGATAAAAGGATTGGATTGAAACATGACAAACTACCACCATTCTCCTTTGTTTTTGTTCTAACATTGTGGCATAACTTACTATAATTAGTGAACAAGTGTTGATGAGACATTTTTTTATATATCGCTTATATATTAATGGGATTATGAAGGAAAAATTATCACTTGTCTCTTGTTTAAGTTCTTGAATATCCAATTATGAATTCCTATGTAGTGTCTTAATCTCGGCTAAAGTCATAAGTCATATTTCCGTACCAAACGTTCCACACCCCTTTAATTAACTTTGTGTTACATGTTTCCTTCAAATGGACTATAGATTTGCATGTCGAACAAGCAACCCATTTTATAGCTAATATCCCCAACTCTCCTAGAGTCCTTACATAATTATACAACTTAATTATTATTGTGTTGTTTTAGTAACCATACATTAATAAATTAAAAACAACCTATTTTAATTATGATAACTCCCTAGTATGTAGAATTTTCGCCAAACGGCCTTAACTCCCAAAAACTTGGCCTAAACGTTCCAAAATGTCCTTGTTAAAATTGTTGCGGTGTTCATCCCAAGTCCCACATGAAAAGATTAAGGAAGTGAGAAGCTCTTTATAAGTAGAAGCACACTCAAATAATATGAGGCCTTTTGAGAAGGTGCCCAAAATAAATCCGTGCGGACTAGACCTAAAGCGGACAATAGCATACTAATGTGGATTGGAGTGTGTGTGTGTGACCTGTCAAGGTGGGTCACCCGGGCCTAATAAAGATGAGTAAAAAAAAAGTAGTTATTCATAATTACTATGAACCTATGCTTAATATATAAATAATTCATAAACTCGATATATTTCTCTTGTTACAAAAGACAATTTTTTGTAATAGAAAATAATACAATTCATTATGGCATAGCTAGGAAATTACAAAGTAATAAATTACATCTTATTCAAAGGCAACATAGATAAAATGATTCATACATATTTATCATGCAAGTATGATCACCTCCAATAGTGTAACCATACCAAACATGATAAAACCACGTACAACACTACTCTTAATAACTTTTGGACCACCTGAGTAGGGATACCCCGTCATATACAAATTGCTGCCCGGAGTATTGTAGTAGTATCTTGATGATGCCGATGATGGTGATGGCGATGGTGATGATGGTAATGGTGATGGCAAAGGCGGTTCCTTTGGTGGCGGAGGCAGTGGCGGAGTTGGCGGAGGCAGTGGCGGAGGTGGAGGTTCTTTACATGGTGGGGGTGGAAGCGGAGGTGGGGGACATTTGGGAAGTGGGGAAGGTGGTGGAGTTTCACACTTAATACTAATGTTTGGTAATGGTTTTGAAGTGATTTCTTCGGTTGCTTTGCATGAAATTGTGATTAAAAAGAGTAGAGAAAAGTTGAACAATTTTTTGAGGATTGAATACATCATTGTTTTACATTAGGAATAGAAAGAAAATTCTAACAAGGAAAAGAAATGGGGAGTTGTTTTTGAGTGTATGTGATATGTTAGGATGTTTTAACATACCAAAATGTCCAAATTTATAGTAGTGTGACTAAGGTCAATTCATGTATATTGGTCGTAAATTAATGGTCATTTTGGTAGTATGTGTTCTTTTGGAGCTTTTTAGGGTGTGGTGGAAAGAATTTTATTACAAGGATTATGGAGAGAAATTATAGTGGATGTTATAAATTGTAAATTTTAGCCTATTGGAAGTTTTATTGGATGTCCTATCTAGGTTGTTATCTGCATGCAATTCACTAGCCTATGATATATAAGTGTTAATAAGGCATATTTTGTTCATGTGGCATTTACACTTGTTTGTGGTTTTGTAGGGGATGGTACCGACTCCGTCAGTAATTAGCCGATAATAAGAAACTACGCTGCTAACCATCTGCTGACTAGCATACCAGCTTAACATCCATAACGGCCTTCCTCTCGGCCACGTGGAGAGCTGTTTTAGGCCACGGTGGCACCTGCTGCATACAAGATTGGTCTTCCACCTATGCTGATAGGTGGCACCGGCTTGGTTACCTTTCTTTAAATACCCGAGCATATTTTCATTATAAGGTACAATCTCTCTCTCTCTCTCAAAGCATTTTCTCTCTCTTCATTCCTTCTTTTCATCAGATTACTAACTTTAGCATCAGACCGGTTATCCCCAGATAATCCCCCGGGTTAGCTGATCTGTGCTGACTGTGCAGGTGCTTAATTGGACGGTAAACCTTTACCAACCCTCATGCACCTGGAACAGGTTTGATTATCTTAGATACTAATTAAATTTAGATTAAAATGGTCAATAATATGTGTAACTTTAATACTCGATCTACTCAATCAAACTCGACCCAAAACCAACCGATGACCCCATTATAATCTTGAATCGTCACTACAAGAAAATAACATTTTCGTAGCGATTACTTTAACCTTTAGTATCGATTGTAACTGCAACAAAAAGTTTTCCCAATGAATGGCCATTCGATACAATATCCCCCGTTGTCTTAGCCTTTAGTAGTGGTTTTCAATATCGCTGGGGTTGGCCTCAATAATAGATACGAAAAACTACTTCCAATCGTGGTGATTATTGTAGCGATTACAATCGCTATAAACGTTTAACTCATTTTCTTTAAAAAAAAAACATGCGTATGATCTTTACAAGATTCAAACATGCAGCCTCAAACTCTTATATTAAATGTTTCACCAATAAGTTATGACATATTTTATGTATTCTTTGTCAAACAATATTTATATATCTAGTGTTGAAAAGGTTTTTCGTATTGATTTTTAGGATTTAGTGGCGATTGTAAATGATACGATTTCTCAAAATTATATAAATACCATGGCGATTGTAAAAATGATACGACATCCTTAATTATTTCACAAACATACTTGCATATTGTAGCAAATGTACAATCACGATATTTTTCTTGTAGTGCGTGTTCTCGTGAGGGAGTCTCCTAATACAACACTTATTTTGTAGTTTTTATCACGAGAAGACTCCTAATACAACACTTGTATTGTAGTTTTTATATTCAAATGACTAGATAATTACTTTATCAATGATTGTTGCTAAACTTTTTTCAATCATGTTAACATGCTTGATGAATGGCAGTAGTACATTTTTAGAATAAATTAAATGGTGAAAATGATAAAAGGATTGGGTTGAAACATGACAAACTATGAAACTACCACCATTCTCCTTTGTTTTTGTTCTAACGTGGCATGCAGAATTACAGGTTACTAGCTAAATTACTATAATAGTGAACAAGTTTTGATGATATACTAGTTTTAGGCTACTGGTAATGTCCCGAGATACTACATTAATTTTATTATTTAAATCTTTAATTATATTTAATTTTAATAAAATGATATATAATTAGCTTAGTGGCTATGAATATAGGAGCAATTTTGAAATTTGAGGTCTTGAGTTCAAACCTTTTTCAATACATAATTTTAAGCATGTGAAATGAAATACTTAATTAATTGAGTAAGGTGCCACGTGTCACCTAAACTTATTTAGGAATGCCTTTTAATATATATAGATAGGATTAATTATTAGGAAGGGAAAATTTATCACTTATCTCTTGTTGTTAAAGGACAGACTCAACCAAAAGCTTAAGTTGATGGTTGAGACCCAAGAATATGTTTTATACTCTATTACGCCCCGTCAAACGAGAGCTCGTTTGGGCTAGAAGTGTGGATGTAGCATGGCCCTCCTCATACCCAGTGCTTAATATTCCACTTGAAATTGGGGGGGTGGATGAGATTCGAACTTGTAACCCTTATGTCACGCTAACTCCAATACAATGTTAGTGGACCAACTCAACCAATGAAAATAGTATAGTGCACCCGGGTGCACCATGCGCATGGTGCACCCGGAAAGAACATTAGGCATATTTTAAAGAACATGGGGAAAAAAAAGAACATGCTAATGTTTAAAAAAGAACATACCTGTGTTTGACAAAAGAACATGTTTGTGTTTGACAAGAACGTGACATTATAAAGAACATAAAGTTTGTACAAAAAGAACATGTTATTTTTCATGGTTACTTGGGTGGTTGAACGTGTTTGAAAAGGAACATTATATTTGACAAAAAAGAACATGTTCGTGTTTGACAAAGATATAGGTGATCATTGGGCAGACCGGGACAAGGTTAAAAAATCAGCTCACTTCTCGAGTCGGGCCAAGTTTTGGGCTGAAGTTTTTGTGCCCAAACCTGCCCAAAATGGTCTGGTCGTGCGGGCTTTTTGGGTTGAGTAAAAAAAATCAACTAAAATGCATAAAAACGCAATCCCAAACTCGCCCAAAAAATTAAATTTACGGGCTGGGTCCGACCCGATTTGTGGGCAAAAAAATTCTGCCCAAAACCCGTCCAAAATCAAGTCGGGTCAGTCTAACTTTGATCACCTCTAGCCAAAGAACATAAAGGATTTACAAAAAGAACATGATAATACAGTAAAGAACATGTTCTTTTTTCTAGTTATTCGGGTGATTTTTTTTTTTTTTTTTTAAATAAATGTACATACATTAAAGAACATATTGTATAATATAAAAAACATATATTTCAAACTCAAAGAACATAATAATCAAATTTAAAGAACATATTATGCTCATGTTCTTTATAAATATCTATAATGTTCTTTTTTTTGCCCATGTTCTTTTAAATATACCTAATGTTCTTTCTGGGTGCACCAACCATAAACCCCTCAACCAAAAGCTTAATTAGGTAGATCGGAAAAAGATTAGCTTTTATATTATTCACTTGTTTTGCAATAATTAACAAGAGCTACAAATAAATATATTTATTTCCTCGATCCATCGATCCTTTTTATTTCAACGTACATATTTTTAGTCGCCATTTTTACCACACCAACTTAATTATTAGATTCCATATATACCTTCTTGTATTTTCCTCTAAATTTTGACTCTAAAATCATTTTTTGCTTCACTAGCTATTTCATACACATTTAAGATTTATTCAGAACGTATAGTAGGTTAAAAAAATATTCTTTGTCATAGGAACATATAAACCAATAACTTAAAGCTTTTCTACTTTCTAAGTTAGTCTATTTTGTAATTTTGTAAAGAAAGTTTAAGCTCTTAAATATCCAATTATCAATTCCTATGTAGTGTCTTAATCTCGGCTAAAGTCATATTTCCATACCAAACGTTCCACTCTTTTATTGACTTCGTGTTACATGTTTCCTTCTAAATGGACTATGGAGTTGCAAGTCGAACAAGTAACCCATTTTATGGTTTATATCCCCAACTCCTCTTGAGCCCTTAGAAAATTACACAAATTTATTGTGTAGTTTTAGTAAGACATTTAACCACTCACTAATTAAACAACCTATTTCCAATTATTAAATTAAACCCAAGGTGTATATATATATATATATATATATATATATATATATATATATATATATATATATATATATATATATATATATATATATATATATATATATATATATATATATATACCATCATCATACAGTTAGAATATGTCATTCTCAATTATTTAAAAAAAAAAGTGTTTCCCTATCATATGATGTTGCTATGAGAGTATGAGGTATGGGAGGTTAGATGGGGTGAAGACCAATCCTCGTGTAAACGTCAATATATAAAATAATATGTTAGGTTAGATGATGAATACATTTGTTTATGATAACTCCCTAGTATGTACGTATAATTTTCACCTAACGGCCTTAACTTCCCAAAAGCTCACCTTTAACGTTCCAAATAACATGCCCTTATGACTATGTTTACTTAAATAAGCATAATAAAGAATTGCATTCGTTGATTTTTAATTGTAATATATAACAAAGGAATTTTTTATGTTTAAAAAAAATGAATTTTTTCTGTCTTACAAATAATACCCTTTGTTGCTACTAAAAATTATTGCTACTCGAGATTTTTGTCTTGTTACAAAAGACAAGCTTTTATTAGATAACAAAAGCTAACCTTTAGGCATACCTTTTTCTCTTTTAGGAAGAGTTAGTTGGGGTACCCAAGAACCCAACCAAGATAAAATTGATGGGGAAAAAAAAAAAAACTTGGAAGTTATTATATATAATTCATTATGGTATACATAGAGGGAGTTAATTTAAAATGGTAAATTACATCTTACTCAAAGGCAAAATAGATAAAATGATTCATATATCTTTATCATACAAGTATGATCACCTCCAATAGTGTAACTATACCAAACATCATAAAACCACTTACAACACCCTTAATAACTTTTGGACCACCCGAGTAGGTATACCCCGTCACATACAAATTACTGCCCGGAGTGCTATCGTAGTATCTTGGTGGTGGTGGTGGTGATTGCTGACTCATGCAAGGGATGCACGGCGGCTCCTTTGGAGGTGGTGGTGGATCACATGGTGGAGGTGGTGGTGGGGGACATGGTGGGGGTGGAGGTGGGGGACATTCAGGAAGCGGGGGAGGTGGTGGAGGAAGGTATTCAGGGCAAGTGTCACACTTGATTTCTTCGGTGGCTTTGCATGAAATTGTGATTAAAATGAGTACAAAAAAATTGATGTACAATTTTTTGAGGATTGAAGTCATCTTGGTTTTACATTAGAAAGTAGAAAGAAAACTCTAAGAAGGAAAAGAAATATGGGGAGTTGTTTTTGGGTGTATGTGATTTGTTAGGATGTTGTAACGTAACCAAATTGTTCAAAATTTATAGTAGTATGAGTGTATGACTAAGGTCAAGTCATGTATTATTGGTCGTAAATTAATGGCCATTTTGGTATTAGGTATTCTTTTGGAGTTTTTTAGGGTGGGAGGTGGAAAGAAATTTACAAGGATTTTGGAGAGAAATTTACATATATGTAAGAATTGAAGTGGATGTTATTTAATTTCTACTAAATTGTAAATAATAAAATAATTTAAACATGATGAGACTAATTATGAATTGGAGCCTGTTGGAAGTTTTATTGGATTTCCTTATCTAAGTTGGCTACAATTCATTAGCCAATGAGATATAAGTGTTAATAAGGCCAGGCCATATTCAATTCATGTGACATTTACACTTGTATAGTTGTATGTGGTTTGTTAATTATAGATACTAATTAAATTTAGATAAAAATGGTTAACAATATTGAATATTATCAATTATAAAGTAATTTCTTCTAATTAAGACTTTTTACATCTAGAAGAATTGAAACTTATTTTTACATATTAAGATTGTTAATTATTTATTACATGAAATTACTAATTTTTACTAATTAAAATTAAACTAAAAATATTTCGTGTATACAGTATAAATGAGTGATCAAAAGCACATACAAGTTGTAACCTTATTTTATATTTACACCATACTACATGACTATGGATTAATACATTTTTTATATATTGCAAAAAGATAAGGGTCCTGTTTGGTTGTAAGCTTATTGGGGATATATTAGCTTATTTGACTAATTTTAGCTGATTGTCTAGTCAAACAAGCTAATACAAGTATTTGGTAGTAAGCTTATTGAAAGAGCTTATTCCACTAAATAAGCTCTTTTTGAAAAAGCTCATTTTAGGAGCTTTTTCAATTAGCTTATTCATTAATTATTGTGAAATGACACTTATAACCTCATTTAATTTAAAATCCTATCTAAACTACCTACCCCACAATTAGCTTATTGGTCATTTCACATATATCATACTCAATCACCTTTAAGCTATCAGCTATTTACCAAACACTTTTATATAATCATTTAATACAATAAGTTAGTCAAATCAGTTAATAAAATCAGCTAGTCAAAATCAGCTAACTCAATCAGCTTTAGCTTTCAGCTTTCTCCCAAATAGGGCCAAGAATAAAGCATGTATACTCTAGCAATTCTCTTTTTCTTATTTCTACCTCAGTGTACTCATAAGTCGTATATTTCATATTATTATCAACTAACTCTTTTTGGGTCAACTAAACATCCTACCTAATAACACTAATTTAAGAGAAGACGAATTAATAAAAGATGTTTTGGTAGTGTAGTAGTGAATTCTTCGTCAATAGAAGATTGGGAGGGTGACTTGGGGTCAAGCTGTATTGGGATAATAATATAATATAATGGTTTAATGGTTGCATCCGTGTATAATTACATAATAATCAATTAGAGAGTGAGTGTTATTTCTATATTTTGTTGTACATTTTTTTTCTTCTAGGTTATTACATAGAGCTTCTTGTGATAAAAACATGTATAGGCCGGTCTATGATTGGCTCGATATATATCAAGTGATTGTAATAATGTTTGCGGTTGTGTTCGCCAGTTAGGTGATGGTCTCAAAGCCGTTCAAACTCCCAAACAATAATAATCTCATCAAAACATAATATAAGAACCTACATACTAAATGGTAAATAAAAAGCAGTGAATTATAAAGTTAAGGAACTTTGTGGTGTTTAATTGAATAAAGTAGCTTATGATGATTACACATCAAAATATTATAGCAAAATTTAGGTATGCAATCTAAGGCTCACAAAATTCTCTGCCCCCTTATTAATAACCAAAATTTATTATAAATATGACAAATTACATTTAATTATACAATGCAATTAATTATAATCTGTGTGTAGCAAATTAGGCAGTGAAATAATAGTTGGAATTGCTTTCACGACAATCAATCCTATGTCTTATTGGCAAAGAATGGTTGCCACACAATTATTTGTACTTGCACCTTAACTACTCGCCTTTTCTTATTAGAGAATTAGAATAGAATCTACCTTTTTTCTCTCCCACCACCACTTTCGCAACTTTTCTTCTTCATGAAGCACAATATAAAATTATTCCACATTTTTTTAATTATTTTCAATTTATTTTATTATTTTCTCATAATTTTCTTTGGTGGAAAAAAAAAAACCAACATTGATTTTTCAAAATTTTCTACACTTGAAAGTTGATATTTCAAAAATATATAGATTGTATATTCAACATTGTAGTATTTCATATGTATAATATATTTGCTTATAAATAAACTCGCTCTGTATATAAGTAACGTACAAAACGTATGATTAAGCGTAGATAGTGCAGAGAGTCAAAGTGTTGAAACAATTATTAGTAAAAACAAGAGTAAAAGCAATGAAGTAACAATTAAACATACGTAGTATATAGTGACCAAGAAATAATGTAATAATAATGAACTCTTCATGAAAAAGCTTAGAGTTAAATTTCATTATGGATCAAGAGAACAAGATGATCAAATAATAATATGAAATTAAAAAGTTACATAATTCAATGACCAAATGATTAAATGGATTAAATGCAACTAATTAACAAAATGGAAGATCAGAATAATTCAGAATACTAGAAATGAGAATTTTTATCCGAACATTGATCAATTTCCTAAAAATATATAATCTACACTTACCCATCATATATTTATTTATGTATTTATCATAAAAATATGATCTCATCAAATAATGTAACTCCTACTAAAAACATCATAACAAGACTCATTGCAATCTTAGCTCTTGTACCACTAGAGTAGTTATACTCCGTCACGTATAGATTACTATTCCCCGGAGAATAGTAGAACCTTGGTGGTGGCGGCGGCTTGCTCATGCAAGGGTCACAAGGAGGCTCCTTCGGCGCTGGTGGTGGAGATGGTGGCGGTGGGCATGGTGGCGGAGGTGGTGGTGGACATTCCACAACCGGTGGCGGTGGGGGTGGTGATGGTGGCGGCAATGGTGGCGGTGCTTGTGGCTCATCACATGTGGTACAAGGACAAGTGTCACACTTTATGCTAGGGTCTTCAGGAAGTGGTGGACTAATATCTTGTGCTTTATAACAAGAAATAGAGATTAATAATATGAAGAGTAGAAGAAGATGATTGTGGAATTTTTGGTGGATTGAAAACATGATTTTTGTTGCATGAATCAAGAGAAAGAGAGAAAAAGGGAGGAGAGTTTTGTGATTGTTAGGGTGGTGTACGTTATTGTTGAAAGATAATGCATAGAAGGGTGTAATGAGGTCAAGTTATAAGAGTAATATAATGGTCATATTGTTAGGTGGACTTTTGGCTTTTTGGGAGGAGAATTTCCAAAAGGGATAGTGGGGTTGGAAGGTTCTTCCTCTTTCTTTTGGTTTTGGTTCTACGCGTAGTATATAACTAATTAGTGACTCCTAGGTGCCTATATTGTGATTTCCTTATGTAGGTGTGACAAATTATTAATGGTTCAAAGAACCTATAAGATGTACATCGGGTTCGGATATTCAACACATAGGATGTACTTGAGAGGCTAAGGGTATATATATAAGATGCTCTCAATCTAAAAATATGAACTGATGTGGACTGCAAGTTGTATGCGTTCGTTACTACACACATTACTTATGAGAGATCAAGACAGAGTTAACGTTACATGTGTTAGCGTGTTGTGCACGCACATGTTGAAGTTGAAGAAAACAATTATCTCAGCCACTTATATTACGTATGAACTGGTTAGAAAAACCTAGATTTATAATTGGCAGGTTCAAAATGATTTTGATCTAACACGTAAATTAATTAAGAATTAAGAATCCTTTTAATTGCTTAAGTTTCTCAATAGCCTTTCATCTAATTGTAGTTTTTCATTTGTTTTTTCACATATGAAAATAATTTAAATTTTGATATGAATAATTGATAAAACATGCATAATAACACAATCATACAATGGCATGTAGTCATGCAACGTTGAGCCGTTGACCACAAAGATGATTTTAATCTCTTAATTGAAAATTTCTAAAAGAGACATAAATGTGGAGATAATCGATCATATAGGAAAGCCATGTGAAGTGATTCCTTCCTATGAGTGAACCCGCGCGCATTATTCTTGACTTCCCTACAAGTTTCACAAGTGTATATATATTGGTCGGCGAGAATATAATAATGTTAACTACACTTCATGATTAAGCTAGAGGTGATTATTGAATAAATAATTAAATACGACCGTATTATTAACTTTATATTTTTTTCCAAAAAAAAAAAAAAAAAACCAATTTATGTGCTGACAAATATATTTAGTCAAAATGATACAATTATTATAAAACGAAATATATATTTTATTTTTCCTTTAAAAATATAAATGTAACCTCAAATTAAAGGTTATTTTTCGCATAAGAAGTTAAAAGTAGAATTTTAACTATTAATACCGAAGAATTACTCCTTAGTCGAACATATATCAGTTTTAACCTAACACCATTTGGACAATAAAATAGGACATGTATTTATATTTGGTTTACGACGGTGATTGGTAAGCATTGTTTAATAAAGAGCCATGATCATCACTCATCAGCCATATGTTCTAAGATGATGATAATAGAACTTTATTAAGAATTGATTTTTCATGTTAATGATTGAGATAGTAGTTAATACATTAAGGAAACATCAAACATGACATGATAGACTTTGGCTCATTTAGGAGGCAAGAAAAATTATATATACGGGTGGACTTTAATATTATTTGTGCAAATTGACTGATAATCACAGAAAGTTTGAGGCTGGCATTATTATTCATTTATTCTTCTTAAAACTTAAATGACTTCACCATAATTACAACATGCCCGTGTCTTAATTGTTCGCCAGATAATCAACTAGCTAGGCTCATATCGGATCGACCTCATTCTATGACAAAAATACTTACTACGACTCTACGAGTAATTTTTTTCGTGTAAAAGCTATTGTCGTGTATATTACTGTATATCAACTATCAAATTACACTAACAACGTGATAACGTATTTAACTTTTATTCAGCACGAGTCATGAATCAGTTATAAGCTTAGATAAATGTACTTTGTTAAGACGTGTAGCTGAAGTAAGAAGCCTTTGGTGACACAAAAGGTCTTTTGCACTGAAAACAGAATCGAATGCTTCTTCATAGTTGAAAGAACATATAAAAGGGAATTTCAATTCTTAGCCATTACTTATTTCCTTTTGTCACATAATTTAAGAACTTTCTGAGTTACTGCCAGCTTAAGCATATATTCCTACTCGATTTTTTTTCTATCCTCTTCTCTCATCCATACTTTCTATCTTCTTTATTTACATTTATCTTGTAGTTAGTAATTTTGATTATTTTATAGTTATAGACTTAATTGGAATTTCTAATATTTTATTATAAAAAAGTTTAAGGTTAAATAAGTTACTAGCCATAATGAGCTAATCATCAATCAATAATTATATAAAGCTAAATAATAAATTAAGATTCTTCCTCTTATGATTGATAATTAACTAATGTTAATTGGAGCATATATATGTCATCACTTTAAAAGATTTTCCCTTTATGTTATTACATGTGAACTTAAGGGCATAAAATACTTCTTGGCATATACGCAGTATCATGTATGGATTAAGTCTAACAGTACGAAATACAATCAACAAATGTTTGACTTATTTAGTAGGCCAGGTTTCTTACCTGCTTATGTCTTAGAGATTTAAGGTTCGAATTCTACCAAATGAAGGTGTTTGAAGGTAAGGATTCTTGTACCCTCTTATTTACTTCTAAGTGCTTGGCCCATAAAATATGGACCAAAAAAGCCAGAGTGTTAAAATCTAACTAGTCAGGGTCCTTATCTTATGAAAAAAGTCTAGTATGAAATATATATGATAAATAAATCGCGTCATTTATAAAGCTATTAATCATGCATGCTAGCTAGTTAGGTTTGTTGTAGTGACATGACCCATTGTCGATCAAAAACTTTGAATTAGCATGCTATTCGTTTTAATTCGTGCTTACAAGAATATATCTCAAATCCATTGAATTGACCACAAAGTTTACTAGGTTAGCTTGTCCAATAAGAAACGAATTGAACAAAGTGTCAAAGGAAGCTAAGCTTGCTCGTTAGTGGTCCAAAATATTATTGCATTGTTTTAGTCTGAATAAATTCATAAAACACTAGCTTATCTTGCAGTCATATATACAAAATATTTTGGAGTAAAATATGATAGCTAAAGAAACAACTTCATTTGAGTCATCCCATATCCCTACTTGCTCATGCCTCATGGTAGGCCACTTTAATACGTAGCATCAATATTCAAATAGGGTTTTGGTGGTTAAAAACCGCTATATTTAAGCATTGCGTACATATATTGAAAGATCAAGTAGACTAAATTAAACTAATCAATGAAATTAAACTAAATTTGAACGGAGGAAATATATTACACAAATGTTTTTATATGTATTTCACATGAAAATTTCCACAAAATATTTAGATTTTCAACTTAGAAACTTAGAGAAGACAGTTGTTCAGAATGTGGTGGTTCACCAAATACTAAATTATGCTGTTGAAGTATGACCACTTAACAGCTAGATATAAGTCATCTTGCATGCATAAATAGCATGGGCCACTAGCTTTAAAATGCCGAATCCGAAGATTCTATAAAATCATATACCCATAAATTAAGCAATTCTCTACGTATTGCACCTTCATTGTAGCGTAATCTACTTGCAAATTGCAACTTGTAGTATTATCTGTTTAGCAACCTTTACTTGATGATATATATGCATAAAAGCAAGCACACTTTGAATAGATTCCTCTATATTTAGTATGCATGTTTATTTTTGTTTTGTTTCTAATCTATACTATATGGTTCAATTGTGGCCTTCCTTGCAAATTTATTTGTGCTCAAATACAGAATGATTTTTATAAGCGTGTGACTCACATTTATATACCCGTCATGATTTCGTATTGTGTTATATTTTGTTGTCTATCTAATTTATTGCCGGCAAAGATAATTCCGAGAATTTCAAATAATTATGTTATTAGCATTATAATTTGACTAGATGAATTTAACAACTTATCTGAGATAAATCCAACAACTTATTTATAAATATTTAATTTTCTATAATACTAAAAAAAATAATTAAACTTGAGAAAAAAGAAGAAAAAAAAAAAGTCAAATGTTTCAATTGTTCAAAGACCAAAAGAGTAAATTATCGATCCTTTTCCGAGTTGCATAAAATTTTCTACATGTGTTCGAAAATAGTTTTTCATGATGATCAATTTGGTCACTTTTCACTAGGAGCAATATGGTTAACAATTGACCTTAAATTTTTAGAGCTTCAAGTGAACTATGTTGTCTAATGTTGACCTTCAACCTTCAAGGCCTTCAACACAATAATTTCAAGCACGCTAATAATCTAGGCCCAACCCATCATTAAAACTTGGGCCTAACGATAGCATCAGCAAAATCTCCACCTGTTCACCATTATCCATTTATTTAAATTGTTATTAAACAGTTAAATGGAAATTCCAGAAGAAAAACACAGATCAAAGGAGCAACTGCCACGTTGATAAGATAAAGCACTCATCATCAGACACGTGTAACCGCCTCCCCAAAACCCCCCAAAATATCAACTCAAAAAAAAAAAAAAAAATCGAAATATTCAAAACCTCCATTAAAATAAACTGTATAATCAATTAATATCATCTTTCCCAAAATCTGAAAAAGTATATAAAATCATGTTCCGATTAGCATACCATCTCACAATCTTCAGAAAAATCTCTCTCATAATCTACCTTCTATACGAAGCCCTAGTTCCTTCTCTTTCAAGATACTTTTAAGTTTTTATCAACCAATCAACCCTTTTCTTTATTTAATTTAACACGCACACCAAGTGTTCGATCATTTGCTTGAAAGAAAAAAAGAGTTAGAAGAATGCCGATGTTGGGGGTGCCAATATGTGTGGAGTGTGGGACCCGAAGTAACCCGTGCAGGTGTAAGATAGTGGGACCCACAGTTGGGTTCCTAGCGTTTGTGGTGGCGGCGGTGGTGGAGTGGCCGGTGGGTGCGTTGGTTTACCCGTTTAAGCATCGGAAAGGTCGTAAGATTATGGGTCATCCTGTTTCTGTGGTTTATCCTTCTGTTACTAATGCTATTCCCATTTGATGGGATTACTTTTAATCTTATGATAATATTGTAATTTTATTACTACTGCGTTACAGGTTATGTCAAATCGTTGCACATAACCAGTAATGGAGTTAGTAAGTGTATTAATTGTAGTTTTAGTTGCAATGTTATACGAAGTAGTAAGTGTATGTTTATTTAATTATAGTACTTTCTCAGTCCCTTAATTAAATTCTTACTTTTTTAGCGTATATTTTTACCTCTTTTTATTAGTTTGGGTTAATCATTGCCCTAAAGTGATGAATCCTTATGTACGTTGGGACACTTTGTTCCTTAATTAATGCATTAGCTAGCTTTCCCTAAGAGCTTTTTAGTGTATCTTTTTTTAAAAAAATAGAAAATTCTTAAATTATTTAAAACTAAGTTTATACTATGTATTAAAAGAAGAAGTAAAGTATACCTATAGATGTATACAGAATACTCTGTATCGGATTAGATTTAGAATACGGAGTAATATTTAGCACTGATATACTAACTCTGTTTCATATTAGTTGCAACTTTAAAATATTTTATATCTCACAAATAATACCCCAAAGTTGCAATTAATATGAAACAGAGGTAGTAACGAACAAGAATTCGATGGGTAACCTCAGACCTCTATTGGCTATGCATTGACAATTATTTGAGAAAATACTTTTAACAAGTGATATTTCTGTAACAAATACGGAGTAATGTTTAATTTTGCTGAAAAGGACTAGTCCAACACATTTCAGCCATATTAAAATTGTGGGCTTAACTCTTCAATTAATGTTGGGCCGTGCTACAAAGTCAACATCACGGCCATCACCCAAATACGTCGACCAATCTTTCTAGATTTATATTTTTGGAAAGTATGTCGACCTCTGTAAAGAAACTTTATTTAAAGTGCCAATTAATAATTTATTCCTACATTATCTGTCCTCTCAAATAATAAATATCAATATTAATACAATTAATTAATCATCATTTCATTTTTAAAATAAAATTTCCACAGAGTGGAAAGTAGAATCAACGAGCAACTGACACGTTACAGGATAAGCTCCAGTCATCTAACACCTGGCACAGCTTTCATAAAAAAAGAAAAAAACGTATATATAATCATGCTTCAGTTATCTAATAATCTTACCATTTCAGAGTAATCATCTTCATATTATATCATAAATTATACAATCTTCTCTTATAAGATACTTTCAATTTCTGGTTTTATTTTAGCGTGCATACCAAGTGTTTGATAATTTGCTTGAGAGAAAGAAAAGGAAAAAAACAGAGATGACAGGGGCGCCGGTATGTATAGAATGTGGGACGAGGGATAATCCATGTAGGTGCAAATTTGTGGGTCCGACACTAGGCTTCTTGGCGTTTGTTGTGACGGCGATTATTGAGTGGCCGGTAGGAGCGGTGGTTTACATTTTTAATCATTCCAAAGGTCGTAGAATCATGGGTCATCCTGTTTCTGTTGTTTATCCTAAAGTTTCTAATGCTATTCCTATTTGATCACAACTAAACTACTTGTAACTGTATTCATGTTTCGATGGAGAGGGAGTCTTGTCGGTTATGTGATGTAAACGGGATTTGATCTCGGGTTTGTGAAGGACTCTACTCTTCTTCTACTTTGTTGCAACGTCGGTTAAAAAATGTGTACCTGTGTGGTGCTTAATTGCTTATCCTTTGTTGGGATTTTTTTAGGATTTTTTGGATTTTTTCTCAAGTTGTAATCGTGTTACATCTATGAATGTTTGACTATTGATTAAGCGTGTAAATGTGGGTGACAAATGACAATGAAATGTAATTTAAGGAGTGGATGTTTTGTTTGTCCTCATCTTTATGAATTAGTGATGCTTTTTGTATTCCTTTTTAACTTATTGTGATATACTTTATACTACCTCCGTCCCTAAATTACATTCCTCTTTCTTTCTATTATGTGAGGAATAAATGCTAAAAAGAGAAATGTAATTTAAGGACGAGGGAGTAACACTTTTGACTTTGCATTATTTACTTCATTACATGTTTTGTGTAATCGCTTTTCTCGACTCTCGAGTTGTAGCCTTGGAACTTGGAAGCAAATAAGAAATGCTCAATGAATTTGTATTTAACCACTTCAGCCTAATTGTGTTGTATTGGTGTGTAATTGTGTATACAGTTTAAAAATTTGATCATAGGTCATTTTACAAAATAGACTATCAAGTTCAATTATACAATAGATTCTGAAACCAGTATTAATTACACTAATCACCTCTTATTTACAAACTTTCATACCAAGTTCAATTCATATCCTATTGAATAATGATTCAACCAAGTTGGATCATTAGCATTCAGTTCAGGTTTATTTCGAGTCTATTGTCAATTAGCTTATAACAAATTTTAAGTATATGTCCGGAGCCTCAACTAGTCAACTTCCTTCCTTAGTGTAATTGTGATTTTTGCTATGTTTGGTTACAAGTTACCAAAAGTGGGGTTGATGTAGCACAAACGATACTATAAATAAGTTGTATGTAACGTAGTATGGAATAGTAGTTACAAAAGAATGAATTGGGGGCCTTGGGCAGTTGAGGGGCACATAGAAAGTTGGTTGTGTTAATGCTTATGGATGTAAACAGCACCTCTGTGGTTGGTAGAGATAACTGAACTTTGCTTAAAAGTGTATATAATCTCTTCTAAGCTATCATTATTCTACATTATCAACGGTTTCAATTGATCACAAAGTCTTCATTTTTAGTGGTCGAAACTCAAAAGTATACACTGATACAAGTGATACTCAAGGCCAACTCAATCTTGACTATCAATTATCTACTTTGTATATCACTACTTTATCCCTTAGGTTTGTGTTCAGTTAGTCACATGTTTGTAAATTGTAATACTTACTCGCATCAATCTATATATTATATCATAAACGTGTGTAATGATAATATTTTGTGTATAATTTCTATTAATATAGAACAAGTCCTGCAAACACCAACTTTGTATTATTTTTGAGTTAGCTATAATAGTGAAATGCTAAGCATATTTTCAGAGCTAATTGATTTTATACTTTTGTATAAATTTTTATTTTTCCTAATAATGATTGGACTTAAACATACACTGCTCCGTAATCGTTACGGAGCAAGATATTACGGAGTTTGCAGCAGCCTTTCTTTTCAAGTGTACCTCCGTCCAAAGGCATTCACCAGTATAACTACATTCCATCATTTTCCCAAAAAAAAAAATATACAAACACTAAAATACATAGCCAATAAAAGAATTATAGTAGGTAACTAGATAAGGTCCACCCTTAAGTCAACTGGGGTCGTGTATAGCGAGTAAACCACGCTAATATCGAAAGTGACTTCAGCTACTTGTAAACTACCCCGTAATTTTTCATGGCCATTAAGGCATTAATCTACCAAATAAATGTTTAAAGCATAAGGCTAATTCATAATAATAATTTATAGAGTATATCGTAACTCATTGTAATCCTTTTTTCCGTATTATTTAATGGCTCAATGCTACTCATAGTTATAAATCTTAGATATGTCACTGTACCGAGTACATGACAACGAGTTTGATTAACTACCGTAATACATACGGGGTATAATATCGTAGATTTAATAACCTTTAATTTAAAAAATGTATCCCAATTAGTTACTCTATACATTCCATTTCAAACTACTATTCATTTATAAAGTACTTGTACTACTTTTATTTATAATGGAGGTGACAATTACAAAATTTAGATAGACGTTTCAATTACTCTTTACATCTTCAACTACACCTCCCATCCCCCCTAATCTAAGACTTGTACATTAAATTTTAAATATTTCCTCTTATAGAACAGACAATACATGTGACATAATTTTGATAAATAGAGAAAATCATAGGAACATATGAAGTAATTTAAGTTTTTTTTTTTTTTTTTTTTCCAAAAACAAAAAATCAAAATTTTAAATCAGTAAGAACTCTAAGAAGCGAGTTTCTAGACTAGACTTTAGTCAGTCAAACAACAACCAATAATATAAGCTTCCCTAATCTCACGCCACTGTTAGTCCATCACTCCACTTTTTGAAAATAAAACCTTTGATTTTATATCATTCTCCCTTATATAAACCTACATAACATTAACACCTAACAAACATTCTATTTTTTTTTTTCTTCAAAACACCTCAAATCAAATCATCTTCATCAAAAATAAAAAAAAAATAAAAAAAATTCATTAATCATGGCAAGGCCTCTTCCAATAGTATCATCAACCCTTCCAATCCATATATTTTCTACTTATTTCATAGTTTTCGCGGTATTACTAACCTTGTCTATATTTTCTCTTGTAACATTTTTATGTGCATCACACAAGAGGCAAAAAGAGGAGGCATTCACTAGGAAAAAACTTTCAATTAGCAAGAAAAGCTTGCTTGAAAGCTTTTCAAAAGCTAATAGCATTAGTAGTAAGGCTCTTTTGAAGATTGTTTCGTGGCGAAAACAAGTTCAACATGGAGATGAAGAAACTGAGTATCATGATATAAATAGTATACACAATAATATTCATGATGATTATATTATTCTTGATGATGATGCTGTTTGGAAGAAGACTATCATTAAAGGCGAAAAATGTAAACCACTTGATTTTTCAGGGAAGATTGAGTATGATTCTGAGGGTAATCTTTTGCCTGATAATTCTGTCATGGATGATAATAATTCGAAGATAATTAGCTCAAATAAGAGTTGATTATCTCTTGATTAATACAGAGTAATAATTATTATTAGTGGTGATGATTTTGGTTGTGTTAGTTTTTTTTTTCATCTTTTATTGGTGTGATACATGTTTGCCACCTACCTAAGGTACATAGGTGATAAACTAGCTCGTTTCGAACCCCTCCTTAGCATGGGACCTGATATTAGGGTACGATGTTATTCGTCTTGTATGTAGCTAGCTACCCATTGAGTTACCTCTGCTCGCCTTGTTCTGTTTACTTTAGTAACTTGCTCACTGAGTTAAGTTGTGATGAACAAGTACTTGTATATCTTAAAAGACTAAGAATGGTTTTTTTTTTTTTTTTTTTTTTTTTTTTTTATGTGAATATTTTGTACATGGAATTCTCTGGAAAAAGAATAAACCAAAATGAGAGTCTTGTTAGCTGCACCATTATGTAAGTTAGAATTATCAACTGTTTGAATGTTCTGTACAATTCAAGATTACTTTTTGCATCATAATATTTGACAATTCAAGCCTTCTTTAATTTTTCTAAAAGAAAAATAAAATCTAAAATATGTTTATAGACTCATAGTCATTGGTGCCTTGGTGGTCAATCTAAGTAAATAGAATTGTTCCTAAATTCAAATGAGTGAATATTGTTGATAGCTAAAATTTTTAAAGTTCGAGCACGCTACATTTTAAAGTGATTTTATAAATAAAATATCAAGATCAAGCCAAATATGGTTCAATCTTGCAATATATTGCCATATTGGTAAGAAAAATAAATTCAATTAAAACTCGATATCGAAGTCGTAAATTGACATTTTGACAATAATAAACCCAAGGTAGATGGCCCAAACAAGAAGCTCATACATTACAGTTTGTTCAGTTAATAAAGCCCAAAAGGGAAATGAGAAAACATGGGCCGGCCAGTAGCCCATACTCTTTCTTATTTACTACTCCCTCCGTCCCTTTATTTTCGCCCCATTTGACTTTACACAATCTCTAAGACACTTGTTAAAACATTTATATCTCCATTTTTGTAACCGTAAAAATTATTAAAATGTTGATATTAATTAAATTTACGATGAGACAAATTGAACAAGATTTCACATAACTATATTTTTCTTTTGTTGAACAACGAGAATTTACAGTCAAAGTTTGACCTACATTTTGGCAATAAGGCAAAAAAATCACGGAAGGAGTACCTTTGATAAATATTAGTTGTAAATTTAAAATATTTTATCTCATAAATAATACTCAAGGTGCAACTAATATTTAATGGATGTACTTTATTGCTGGTAGCAATTAATCAAATTGATAAATATATACTCTTGTCAAAATAAGAAAGTAGTAATAAAATAAAGTCAATCGTATTCCAATAATTATATAAGTTAGACCTAAGACTTTAAGAAGTTTCCTTCAATTAATAAATCGACATTACCCCATTTGGCTAGCTAATTACTAAGTTATTATATTTTGATCTCTTACAAAAAAATACTACTTCATGAGATGACTTTGAATAACTTATGCACAAAACTACAAATTATTCTTTATTTTAAACAATTTAGCTTGGTTTCCTCGTGATTAATACTTGTATTTGATGGTTATTGTCTAATCAAGATTAAAGCCCTACCAAGATGAGCTCTACTTCATCAAACAAAATTCTACGTAAAACAGGTGTCTAATTAAACAAAAATGTTCGGTCACTCCAACTACTCTATACAAGAAGTACTACATAATTACATTACATGGCGTAGTGGGTATGAGTTTTACCTTATGGATTCGATTCCTACCGGTTGTGGTCGGTTCTTGAGTCTGGGAATTGGGATTCCTTTATTTTCCGCATCATTGCCTAATAGCCTAACTGCATAACTAGACCGGTCTACTTGTGATAGGTACCGGTTTAGTAAGATCGTTCTTTTTATACTAAAAGAAAATAACCAACTCCAACTACTCCCTACAAACTATGTAAAAGTCAACTTCACTTGTTACACTCTTTGTATGTTTCGTGGGTGTGAGTCAAATGTATTGTATCCAATATGTTACTATCTTACTTGTATAGTGTATACTCCATAACAAACATACAGAATATAATCAAGTAAGACATAAACCGTAACTTTGACCATAAATGTCGATAGCACATAAGTCTCACTAATAATATGATCA